AAAAAAAAAAAAAAAATGAAGCACAAGTAGAACCTCCACTTCTTATTGTTATTCTTCCATTTTAGTGTGTGTATGCTATAATTTACATTTTTGTTTCCTTTTCCTTTTAATCTAACCTTTGATTTTGTGGATGATCCTCCAGAAGGAAAACTGAACTTCTCTGACTTTTCGGCTAGCGACCTGTCAAATCGTGAATCTGACGTTCTTGCTAAATTATCATCACCGCCTCTATTTACTCCACTCTTACTCTATAATGGGTATTAAAAAAAAATGTTAAAATAAATATGCATTTCAACCATATTTAAAAGCACAGTGGGAAATGCAATTTCTACTATGTCACAAAAATCGTAGAAATATTAATCCCCCAATGCAACTTCCTGTTTTAGTGTCTTACATAGTTAGAACAAGTTAGAATCCATATTAGCAGGGAAAAAAAAAATACTTTTACGTAAGGGTGGAATACATTTAATTTTGTTGTCCTAGGATAATTCGTAAACTTTGCCATTTATCCTGAATTTAAATAAATAATTACTCTATTCTCGTTTCCATAAAATCAGTTGTTCTGACTGTAATTATTGTGACAATTAACGTTGTCACAATTTCTTTTAAATTTAAAAACAAATGTATAAATATATAATACAGATGGCTAACTATAACGGAGTAACTTAACATTGATGCTTATCCTAAAGCTTAAGGTGAGAAAAATTACACCAACATAGTATCTCTAACATGCAAGAACAACATAAACTTATGCATCAATAAAATATATAAAAAAATCTAATAATTGTAACAACCATACCCATTAATTGACTTTGTAACAATATATTTTGTAATTTTAATTTTTTAATGTCATGTTAGATCAACGAGAACAAACAAGGGGATTTATTTAAGAATCATCAAAAACTACGAGGTAATATAAAAACGGGAAAAAATAATTAAAGAGAAAAAATCGTCAAGCTTAAATATACAAACTACAGTATTCAAATATAATAAAGCCTTCGAGGGCTTAACATAGGGTGAAGACTTCTATACTTAATGATTCCAAATTTAACAACACAAAAGTTCGAAAAAATTATGGTATATACGCGCAATTATAAATTAGAACATTTTTAACTATTGCAAAGAACAGAACAATATAAAAAAAACACAAATGAATCAAATTTTTGTTCACATGTTTTATAAATATAATGCTAACCTCTATATACCATCAATATATATAATAATATAGTTAATATTGCCTCAGTTTTTTAAAACGCAGTTTCTATATGGGAATGACTTCAATTTTAGATTTTTTTTTTTCTTTTTTCTCTAAATCATAAGCTTCCTAAATGAACACTTATAAACGTTATACATATTACTTATATCCATTTAATAAAATTTATCCATTTTTTTTTTTTTTTTTTTTTTTTTTGTGTCAATGTTAAAATAATAATGTTAAATTGTTTTTGCGCTTTACGTTAAATAAAGAAAAAAATAATAAGGGTTGTTTTTTTATTTTTTCATCCTTGCCAATACATGTACAAAAATACTTCATCCCATCCATTCGTTTTCTTTTCTTTTTTTCTGATATAATTTTTACCCACATATGAAGAATAAGTTGTTTACAGGAAATGAACAAGTAACGAGGTTTTAGAAAATGAAATGAAAAAAAATGGTATTCACAATAAAATAACTATAACAAACCTTAACATGAAAAAACAATGTTTTTCTTCTTTTGGGGGGATATAAACAAAATTATGTATAATATGTATACGTTGTATATTAATTCAGAAATATGTACTTATATATCACAAAAAAAAAGGAAAAAAAAATGTTAAAAACATAGTAAAAAAGAAAAAGCTAAAATATACATAATACTAAATAAGGAAAAATTAACATAAAAAATATGTTTAGAATAAACAAAACCTCAAAGAATAAATGTTGACAAAAAAAACAAACAAACAAATTTTTTAAGGGATATGTGGGGTACATTTTATATTATATGTTCACAGAGCGAAACACCATGCTTCATCTGAACAGTTGTGTTAATATAAAAAATCGTAATGTGTATTTGTTCTAATAATTCAACAACATTTATAATAGAATAGTCATATATTATTACTTATTACAAAGAGTTTTCGAACCATATAATGTGTACATGTTGATGTTTTAGACCGTCTGTATGATAACACCTGTTGCGGCGTTCTGTAGAAAGAAACTATGGACCATTAATCCCTTGCGCACATAGCTGTTGCGCAAAATAAATTTTATAATTTATTTTCTTCTAATGTATATAAAATGGTCAAAACTTATTAGCATTTAATTATTTATTGTACACGAATTACACAAAAAAGTAGCCATGATAATATCCTATATATGTCTTGTAATGAATTAGGCACGTTTAGGCGTGTATGTTTAGTTCCCCTGCCTAATCACATAGTGTGTAATTCAAAATATATATTTAAAAAGTTCAAACTATGACATCCGCTCAGGGGATACTTTATTCACAGCATAATTTATTTGTAGCTATTTTTCTTATAAAAACATATGAATATCTCGGTGGCGTGTTCTTTTTCTCAGGTAAACCAGCTTCAATTGTGTACAACCAAAATAACAGACAATAAAGTGATATAAAATGTTAGCAGTTTCGGTTAACCTTTTTTCAATTATCAAAGGCGTCATTTTGTGAAGGAAAACTTTCTTATGTAGTGTTTAGTCAATATCACAGTATTATATAAAAAAATACAAATATACGTATATGTATATATATAAATACATGTACATGTTCGCACACAAGCTTCCCGATTTCTAACTAGCTGCCTGGTCCTTCAAAATATGACCAATTCCAAAATTGGTGAGTCGCACCTTATTTCTTTTTTGTTCTTCTGTGAAGAATATTCCTCTATTGATAGATGAAAGTAAAAAAAAAAATTGAAAGAAATTTTTGTAAAAAACAATTACATCAAATAAAACATTACAACTCATTTATGGACCCGTAAAAACGCTCTTATAACTGCGCTAAAAAACTAAAAATCTTTTCTATGTTACCTCAATTAGGTATCGCAGTGAAGTAGAGAATTGAGCTAGCTCAATGAACACCTCTTTTTTCGCTCTAATCTGAAATTGTTTAATGTTCCATTATAACTCTAATGTTGTTCTGTATTCCGCAGTGTGCTTATTTTTTCTAATATCGATTGGCCTAGAAAGGTTAGAGCACTTGTGGCTCTTTGGGGTAATTTCCACAAAACAGGCCACAACAACTTAATCGTATACACATATGTATATTGAATAGCTCACAACAGATGACACACTTCTGCATGAGTCGCTTACAAGCGTTTTATTCTCCTTTGCCAAGTTTTCACTTGTTCTAATAAATTTAGCCCAGTCCTGAATATTTTTTCATGTAAAATTCTCATGGCACCTATTCGTCACTTAATCAGAAAAGAAAAAAAAAACAGAAATGAAAAAAAAGGGAAGACCTTCGTGTAATTCCTGTTCATGCTAATTATGCCTCATTTAAACTGAAAAAAATGTTAACTATCATGCTGAATCTTTCTCATTCATTTAATTGAAAAAAAAAGAAAAAATAGTAAAAAAAAAAAAAAAAAGGAATTACACAAAAAAGTGCTATATGGGTGTAATTACTTTTCGCATTGTCTACATCATTATCAACAATCCTGAACATTCCCCAAATGCAATTTTAAGCAAAAGGAAGAATGTTCAATGTGTGCAAGCGGTTTTTATAATTTCCTAAAATTATTCAAATTACGAAAAGACGCACAAAAATTGGTACATATATTATCCACATTAATGCTGATGGTATAGTCTCACCAAAATTCTGAAAATTTACATTTCACAAAATTTTTGTAAAATACAAACGAACACAAGGGTGAAAAGTAAAAATTGGCAAAATATACTTTTATATATTTTACTGTACATAATAGGGCTACAAGGGTTGTTACAATATAGATGACAAATAATTTTGCGTCTTGTAATGAAAAAATACATCCATATGACTATAATTCTTTGCAGCTTTCATGTTACCATAAAAATGAAAGATTAAATTATAAGAAGGATATGTATTACACAATTATGTGATAACCTTTTATTAACCTCTCAATTTTGTTTACCATCTTTTCTGTAAAATATGTGCTATAAATATATTTTTACTTTTTAAAAGTAATTCATAAATATGTTACAGTCAGTTCCAATTTTTTCAACATAATTGTGGCCTCCTGCGTGTGCTTCACCTTGTACAAGAGCTCCATAGCTTGATAATAGTTGTTCAACATCTATATCACCAATATTTCTTGAACCACTACATGCAGCTGCAGTGTTACATCTAAAATAAATAAGTGTGTTCATCCTCATACTATGTTATTTTTATTATATATTTTTAGTACTCATTGGCATCTTATATATAGAATACTAGTTATGCTGCAATTATGCTCTAATGACATTTGGAACCTAATATTAAAAAAACAAAATTCAGCGTAAATCTATTTTTTGCTGTTGCTTTAAGTTAGCTGTGCAATTATTGTTTGAAAATATATATATGTGCAATGTTATTATATACTAAACTGAGCTGTAAATATATCAACATGTACAATATCACACTTATTCGTGCCATTTTTGATCTTAAAAAAATCGCGGTGGCTTTTTACGTAAAAAACGAGGAAGCAGAGTTTTCGCTTCATATATAAATTAAAGGAAATAAAGCATTCATGCTAAAGAAAAAAATAACGGTTCCTTTTTCACAAATTTTCAAAGTACAAGATATGAGTGAATCGAATATTAAATTGAGAAAAAATTGTAACATAGTCAGATTTGCGCTTACGCTAATATACAATGTTAGGACAACATATATTGAAAGCACATTTTAGCAGAACCTACAGTTGTACAAGTGTTAATTATATTAAATGTTATTTTAATATTTGTTCTATTTATTTATTTTAGGATATAATATTAAAAATTTCAATGTTGTCTCAGTAAAACGATTTACTGTTTTTGCTATATTCTTCTGATTAACAACAACTAATTGGGTAGCATTTTGTTCCATAATCGTCAATGTTTGTTTGTTTTGTATTTGCCCCACACTTCTTATTGCCCTTTCTTTCTTCGTCAGAATTCAAATTTTGAATTACTATTTATAATTTTTTCTGTTCTGTATTAAAAAAATACATATATATATTATTAAATAGCAGTTTACAAATTATCACTGCTATATTTCCTTTGTGAGCAGAAGAATATGCCAATAAGGCAAGGGATATCTCACAAAATTACTCACCATTAAAATTATCACCCAAATATTTTGACAATGTATTATTTTTAAAATGAAGTGTTGCTCCAGTCTCTTAGATGTCAATTCAGAAGGTAACAGTGGTTCATATCGAGCTAACATTCCTACACTGGAGTCTTCCATCTCGCCAATAAAATCGAGAAATAAAAATATAACTATTAATGCAGTCACCCTTTTTACAAATATTATATATTTATTCCTTTTATTGTGCACATTCCAAGGATCCCTTGAGTATAGGTAAAATTGATCAGATTATTGTGTACACATGCGCCCGTGTGGACACATTTTTTGTTCTTTTTTTTTTTTTTCGAATCCCTTTATGCTTCCATTTTTCTTACATGAACATTTAAGCAGTACGAATAAAAAAGCAGACAAATTTCTCAACGCGCATTCGTAATTTCCAATTGCAGAGATGTTAATAAATTGTCTACGGAATCTACACAATCATATAATGGTAAAGCGACACGTATCACACTTAGGAGAAACCTGGCGGAGGAAAACAATAACAATGTACCCGGAGTTCCAGAAGAAAATGTATTAGAACCAGAAAGTGCAACCACGCAAACCTTTGAGTTTTATAACTCTAATTACCCCCTTGAAAAAGATCAACTTCATGAGATTGAAAGTATAAACGAACTTGTTGAAAGTTGCGAAAAAAAACTTAATGATATTCTTATAGACATTAGAAGTCGATTCGTAGAATTTACCGAGGATATGAATCATTACTGGTGTGATAAAATGTGGAAAACTACATGGTATAAATACGCAGATAATGTACACACTGATATGATCAAAAACCTTAAAGACCCAACGATTACTTTAGATGAAAAAAAAAATATTGTCAAAATTTTGATGCAATGGTGTGAGGAAGATTTTAAGTACTTCTTGATATTGCTTAAGGCGCAATGGGATTTGAGAGATGACCCAGAGCATTACTTAGAAAGATAACAGAGGAACAAACAAAAAAAAATCAAATACATTGTTCACGAGTATATTTAAACTTCCGTTTACAAAGAACGAATATCCCTTTTTAAAGTTCCTTATCACTTTTCTTACATGTGAAATGTATAAACTAACAGCATTATTTGCTATCTCTTTTGTATTATATTTAACCTAAAGGTTTAACACTACACAAAGGGGCTCATCTCATGGGCCTTATAGCATAACGAGTTATTCATTGTTTCGTTATACACACATGGTGATGTTATTCGCCCTTTTTTCCAGCTGTGGACAAAATTCAGTCGTTATTTTTACACTTCATTGTGCCTATTGTTACTGGAACAAGGACACACGCTGCTGTAAGCACATATATACATATGCTTATATAATATGTTGAACCCTCTTTTTTTTTTTTTTTTTTTTTGTTTTTTATAATGTTCATTTGTGTGTCATTGTAGAAACGTAGCAGCTTTCAATGGTTTATGACGCTTCTTTCACACAAGGTGTACAATCCTTATTTGCCGAAAAACGTCTCTCTCCAAAAGATGAAACATATAACTTGTTCTTTTTTGTGATGTAACAACGCCTTCGTGAATAAGATGAATAACCACCTGATGCTTCATCTCAAAAAAGATACCTCAATTATATAATTTTAAAGGGGTAGCTATTTTTTCTTGTGGCATAAATCCCTTTACGTAATAAAAAAAAAAAAAATGTATCACTTTTGCTATACATACGCAAATGCAGTATCGCTTTTATTCTTCATTATTCATTAGTTACACTTTGGCTGAATATCCATTCACATTTATAAACCAAAGAACAAATATAAATATTGTACAAAGTACTTAATTGAAAGATAAATTATTTTTAAATTTATTTCGTTGGGCAATTAGTGAACCTTTTTCTTGGTTTATTTTAATTTTATGCATATAATAATGATAGATAAGTGAACGAAATTGGAATACGATTAAATGCAGGGGGATCCTTGTCCGAGTATATTAATTTATTCGCAATTCTTTTTAGCACGTGAAATGATCCAGTGCTTTATTTCACAATTTTCCCCTATTGTAAATTAAAAATACGAAAATTGTAATAGATATATATTTTGTGCACAGCTTATTTTTTTTTGAATGCATCATAATCTTTATACCATTTTATGTGCATGTGACATAAGTGCTATTTAGAAACATAAGAGAAATTTTAATTTCCTACTATTATTATAATTAGTTTTATGAATTGTATGGAAATATTGCCTACTTTTAATTTAGCGCTACCTTGCTCCATTGATTATAACTATCATATGAATATATTATTGGAGAAGTGCGCTCTAAGGATCAAGTGGTTCCCTGCGTGGAATAATTGTTTACAGTCCATTTCTGTGGCACTTATCCTCTTTTACATTTACATCTAATTCATTTGTTTTAATTTTTTAATCACCCATAATGCACTCTCGCAGTCCAACTTTAATGTTAGAGCGTTTATGTAAACATGCATATGTTCTCATATTTCCAATTTTAGAATAAAATTTTTTGTAATTTTCCCCTCTTCTGTTAATTAATTTTATTTCCTTTTATTTATTTTTATTTTATTTTTATTTATTTATTATTACTATTTTCATTATTTTTTTTTATTATTATTTTTATTATTATAATGTTCATTAGTATTATTTTTATTATTATTATTGTTTTTATTCTATTTTATTTTTGCCCTCACCGCTTTACTTAAGAACATATAATTAAAGAAAACTTTTTGCCATATTAAAAACAATTAGTGCATTTTATATTGTTTTTTTTTAATAGTAACATGAATTATATTTTCCTCTTATGTGATATTGTTTTACATTTTTTAGTGTTATTATGAAATTGTTCCTTCCCTCCTTTACTCACACGTGCACATACACGCTAAGAATAAGAATAAACACACGTATAGCGTGTGCGTATTATTTTAATTTACCTTTTAACACTTGATGATTATTTATAACCTTAACAGTAATGAGGAAAATGCCCTATCACGCATGCTGCAAAGCGACATAATAAAATATAATTGTTTCATCGATGCCTATTAAGACGTAACTAGAGAATTTGCTTCAGGGTACATGGAAAATAAAATGAATTGCCATAAAGGGGCGAAGGAAAATACTGTCCATCTGCATGTTAAGATACTTGTAATATGCCTCCTCGTTTGGACATGGATTTCTTGTAACCTTGTAAGGAAATGAAAAGGCGCAAAAATGCTAAAATATACTATTCTTGTATTTTGCTACATAACACGATTGGACATTTCTCTAAGTGTCATTAAATTGACATCCAAAATAAATTATTCTTTACAATTTCTTTTTTTATCTATCCTTTTAATAGACCAGGTACAGGGAACACTATGACATGCCACATAATTTTGGAAAATCGGTGGCTTCAAGATATGATAGATCATTAGCAGAAAATATAGGAAACACTCAATTAGGAAATAACAAATTAAAGACTCAAAATGGAAGTCCTACAACTGCGGGCAAAAATCTAAAAGGAACCCGCCACACCGAGTTACAAGTTAATAAAAAATCTGATGTAACGCGAGACAAGTCACGAGATGCAAATACCCCGGATGATTTAAACATTAAAAAAAGAACGAAAAGGCCAAAGGATCATTCATTGCAGAATGCTAAGAAACCTTCTGTAGAACAAAAGAAAACAATAAAGAATGGATTATCCCAATGTACCTTAAAAGGAGACAATATGAGAGGACCAGGAATTAATAAAAAACCTACCAGATCAACTGTTAAATCAGCGAAAGGGTCAGCCCCCAGTGGCTTAAAAGTTAATAATAAACAAGACTCATCCGTAGATGGACCTGCAGAGGGACCCTCTCCGAGAAAACTGAACGACAATAAAATGGGGAACAAAATGTCCAATTCTATGAAAAACGGAGCGCCGTCTAAATCAACCGTTAAATCAGTGAAAGGCTCAGCCCCCAGTGGCTTAAAAGTTAATAATAAACAAGACTCATCCGTAGATGGACCTGCAGAGGGACCCTCTCCGAGAAAACTGAACGACAATAAAATGGGGAAAAAAATGTCCAATTCTATGAAAAACGGAGCCTCGAGTTCGTCAGAAGTTAGCAAAAAAGGAGGCAAGATAACTAGCTCACCAAAGGACTCCCCCACTAAGGCATTAAAAGCCAACAACAAGGAAAAACCAGAAAAACATCCTTCAGGTAAAGTGAACACATCCGAGTTGAAGGATAATACAAAAAATGATCATGTACCAGGACCAAAACCCAGCGAATTACTCTCTAAACGGAAAGACAGCAAAGCTCCAGAAAACACATCAGTGCAGGTGTCACAGAAAAAATTAAAGCAGAAACCAAAAACATACAAATCAAAATATTATCCATTAAAAAATGTTCCCCCTAGTGGAGTAGTCGGAAGTAAAAGAATGAAGGAATCAGGTGATATTAAATTGAAAAATAAATCACCCACTGGACTGGTAGGACAACAAAAAGACACGAAATCGCCAAATTATCCTTTAAAAAATATTCCCAAAAGTGATTTAACACAGGAGCAGAAAGGGTTAAAAAGTAATATGTTAAAATGTACACCTTCTGATGTACAAGAATGGAAAGAACAAAATCTCAAAATTACACCTATCATATTCCCAGATGAAAAAGGCGAATATGATGTAAATATACGTTCAGGGGAAGAAGAGAATAAAAGATTTATAACGAAAGTTTACAATTTGAAAAGAAAGAAACGTCCTAATAACAATAACTACGAATATATGCATGGAGTAAACGATCCATTAACTCTTGAACTCCAAGAATTTGAACAATATGACAAACCATTATACCCCTTCAAGGAGAAACTTCCTGATTTAAAAGAATATAAGGAAAGTAGCATATCAAGTGATTATGGTCTGAGAAACAAACCACCTGAATTAAAAAAACATCCCGAAGGTAACATATCCAAAGAACAACTGCAGAACAAATCACATAACTTAGAAGCATATAAGGAAAGTCACCTCGCACAGGAAAATGGATTAACAAATAATGCACCTGCAGGATTAAAAGAATATGAAACACCGGACGAAACAAGGGATTATGGATTAAAGGGGTATGCAGATTCCCAATCAAAGGTATCAGAATTAAAGAAACCAAACATAGAAGAACCAAAAATTGATGATCAATCAAGTAGTCATGCAACGGAGCAAAAAGTAAATGACCCATCCGAACAAACTCTAACTACTGTAGCAAACGGAAATAATTCCAATGCGCAGGTTATCAATTGTGGAATATCAAGAAAAATCCCAACCGATGTAGATCAAATCGAAAGAACTGTAGAAACTGTAGTCTGTGCCCTGAAGGAAAATGACAAAGGGAATATCGATGAATATATCGAAACACATACAACAAGACGCTATAAATTAAAAGCAGATGTAATAGACGGGGTAAAGCAATATGATGAAAAATTTGAAAAAGCCGCCTACGGATTTAGAGAAAAGCTTCCAGTTACGGAAGTGCAAGAGTACGATGTGGTTGAAAGAATATTTAAAAAACCAGTAAAAGTTAAAGAAGACGAAATTAAACCTATAGAACGTTACACATACATTCTTAATGGAAAAAAACCGAGACCGCCACGTAAAAATTATGGATTATTAGATTTATGCTCTTTTACTTTTCATGTTATTTTTGATCGTAATGTATACTTGGTTAACAAAGAACATTTGTCCTTATTCAATATGGGAAAAAAAGCTATACAAGGTCAGTTAACCCAAGAATTGATGAATGAGTATATTGTTAATTGTGTGAAACAAAAGACTGATGGAAAAGAAAGTGAAAAAAAAGAATAAATTAAAAATATAACAACAAAAAAGAAAAGAAAAAAAAGGAGAACACCAGATAGGCAGAAGAAAAAAGAGGCGTATTTTTTAAAATGAAGACGAAACAAAAAAAATTGGAGCGAAAGTGGATGGCGAAGGCGGGCAGCAACGTTCAGGGTAAAAGAACTCAGAATAAAGAACCTAAGGGATAAAAAGCCTAAAGTAAATAAAACTAAGGTGAAGAAAACTGCCGTAAAGGAAAACATTGAGGAAAGAAAGAAACCTGAACAGAGAGCGAACAAAACGATTGAGTTCAAAAAAAAAAAAAAAAAATAGAAAAAGCCATTTCTTCCACAAAAAGGTATTCCCCGTGTGGTTTTTGGTAGATGAGAACAGTTCATATTTCAGAGACGCACACGAATTAATGATGAATATGCACGATGATTTATTAAATGGAATCTTGCAGAAATAGTAAAATACGATCTGAAATCACATGATACCAAAAAAAAAATTTAGCGTGAATAAAAATTTGGAAATATTTTACTTACCTATATTAAGTAATATTTCATATGCCCCAGTGGTGGGTACCCTATTGTTAAGGTTATTTTGGTTTAACCAACTTTCTGGAATTATCCGCATCTTGTTTGTCTCTTACTTTAGAATCAGTACACAAACAAGATGCACTAATTAAAGATAATGATATGTAAATTTTATTTGTAATAAAATTCTTATTTCATCCAAACAAGGATGCATACATGCATATGTACAGTTGTGTATATATGTATAGATGTGTTTCCATTTATTTATTCTGACACCTTTGTGTCACACATAAATTAGCAGATTAACAGTTTCTCATTATAAATTCATCATTGTAATGTCACCTATATATTGATATTGTAGACAGGGTTAACAATTTGAGCAATACTGTCGATCCAAGAATTCATCCATTTTTTCCCTGCTTTTGTTTTTTCCATTTTTTATGTAAAATGTAGCTTAAGCATAAGAATTCCATTTCTGTTTTATTTCGGTAAAACTTCTATCGTTTTGTATACATTTGCATTAATAAAGGTTTTTCTGTTTCTTCTGTGAAATATGTGTTTTTTTAGGTATCTCAACTTGATATTTTTTTTTTTTTTTTTCTGTTTGTGTAAGATTGTGTTTAACAATTTATGAAATTCTTTTTAAAACAATTAACCTGAACTAACAACTTGATTTTGTAATTTTCCGCTTATGAACACGTTTTCTACACCTCTATACAATTCCATTACATAAAATCATTCAACAGAATCAAATTAGACGTTTTCTTTGTTCTTTTTTTTTTTTTTTTTGTTTTCCGCTTTACAAATGTGTTATAACCACACATTCGTAAGAACGTATAAGCGTACTCAAGATTTTTGGAACATTTCTGCGAACAATTTAAAAAAAAAAAAATTGCATTTCTTCTTTTTTTATGCCGCTTTGAAGCAACAGTGTAGCATAAATGACATTTGTAACGACTTCAAAACATTTTAAAATATGTTTTATTGCCTTTTTTTTTTAATTGTATCCCATATCATGACTGGTTTACTAGTATATCATAGGCTTCGTAAATATAATTTTCCCCTGTATAAGCATGTTAAAGAAATGTTTCACCAAAAAGGCGAGGATAAAATTCTCATTAGTTCTTCCCACTTTTGATAAATGTCATTCCATATTATGTATATTGCCATTTTTCACATTTACCACACTAATTTGTGCCCTTTCATTCTACGTTTAAAGAAACACGAAAACGTTATTTTATACTGAGAACCTGTTATAACTTTCGGAAGAAGCTGGTTTTTAAATCGCCAAAAATATATATAATCCTTTCTAATATATGTATATGTCAATTTATGATTTCTCGTGTTTTATTTTAAAATTCCGCTTTGATACATACGCTAAGACACGGAACTATATACATATACACACACATCACAACAAAAATTAGAAAATTTAAAGAAGTTAAAAACGTCAAAACACAGTGTATGGAGAATAAAAGACAAATCAAAAACTAAACAAATGAGTACAAATAAGATATTAAAAAAATTTACACATGATTGAATGTAGACAGGCTGAACAACATAAAGTGTGCCTCTTCCCCCTTTATAATTATATAAACGCCATTTGTCAATGTTATATATTATTCTTTTAATTAACAAAACAAAACTTTCCCAATAATGATGACATGGGTGTTGCTAAAGAAATATAGAAAATAACATGCAGGTTATTATCACAACAAAATGGTCATAATACGTCTTTCTCTTCAACTTAAGGGAGATGTATTTTCACACCCGTTGAATCTGTACAAACCGATCCAATAACATTATTATACTTTTACATTAAAGTCTGATCTACCATATGCCTAATCTTAGATTTCTTTGAAATGATAAAATAGACTCTCTAATATTAAAAATCGAAAAGTTGCAAAAATCTTGTATTTGTAATGGATCATATTTATCAATATCCAACTTTCTCTGTCCCAATTCTTCTTTTATTATACTTCTCACTTCATCCATGCGCGGTAATAACTTTTCTACTGGCATAGTGTCCCTGGTCATGTTCTTCTTTGCAATCCATATTCCCTGTGCTATTGTGCTGTTTAAAATGCCATGCGCGTCCTGGCCTAAATCATCCCATATGGAAGGCTTCTTGCTTTTATAACTCATTCTGAATCCACCTGCGGCTACGGCAAGCATGCCCAACACTATACCAATAACTGCATATATCACCTTCTTTTTCCTCTTCTTATTCAATTCATCAATGGAAGACTTGTTCATATGCGATTCACTGCTCTTTATGACAACATTGCACAAATGGGGTTCAAATAAAATATTAAAGAGTAAAATAAGGATAAAAATATACACGTTGGTTATTTTCATTTCGTGCAACAAATAAAACAAAAACACCTTTGCAAAAAAAAAAAAGGAAGGATACAAAAACTTGTATGCATATACTACACATACTAGCGTAATTATAGGAGGGAGGTTTTTCTTCGTTTGCCGAAGCACTTGAACAATTTTCGTAACATAAAATTGTCCAAATCTTAACGTGTTAATTTGTTGATTTGATAATGTGTCAACTTAATAACATGCAACTCTTCCTTGCCACTGTTTCATTTTTATTTTTTATTCTATGTTTTTTCTATTCATTTTAAACATGTTTATTTATGTTGCTTGCAGAATATTTTATCGATGAAATTTAAGCTTATATGTGTGGTAAACAATGCATACATATACGTATCAACAAATATGTGCTTGCAGTGAGAGGTAAACCTTCATGTGGTTTGCTTGGCTTATAATTAATTACGATGTTTTAAACCTTAAATAAAAAGAATTGTTTTTTTAAAAACACAACATTTTATGTGTCCGCATATGCTTGGTAAAGGCATGCGGGGTTCGTAACAACTGCATTTAGAACAGTTGCATGCCACTTTTAAGTGGATTTAAAAAAAGATTTTTCTCAAAAATGAAGAACAAATTAAGAGATAAGGAAACAAATATTTCTTTTATAAAAGGATGATTCAAAACGAATAACTAATATTAATATCATTTGAGGAGTATCCCGCTACCCCCAAAATGAGTAACTATATGTGTGCACATGTAAAGACCACTAGTGGTCTTCTGTGCGAATGCATGCAATTAAAAAAAATAGCACTTTGTGGTGAAATTGAATAGAGGCCAGTTACATCAAAAATTAAACAAATAAGTTGCATATAAAAAGCTTTTTTTATGTTCATGTCAAACGACATATTATTTGGAAAAAAAAAAAAAATCTTGTACAATATTTACGGGTAGCATGTTGTTGTAGCATATAACAGCGTGCCCCCTTCCCAATGCGTTCATTTCTTGAAGGACAGAAATAATCAAAAAAAATGAGGAAACATATGAGGAAAAGGTTTATATATATTCTGCCAGCCCCCTTTCTTCAATTAAACAATAAATTGTAAAGATTTTCTGCGGCAAATTTATTTATGAATAAAAATTACTTTCCTTACACATCGCAACAAATATATGAATAACAAATACGTTTCAGCAGCTTAATCTAACAGGACATATAATTTACAGTGGTGATCTCGTTAACCTTGCACAAACGTAATTAAATATTATGCAAAAGGATATATAGTCAAACTGAATTTCATTCAAATAGTAAAAATTAACCAGTACCAATATTCAGAAATAACAGTTTATCACTTATTAAGAGAAATTCATTGGTGTTGCTCCTTTTCATGAAAACATTTTAAAACTTATCTTTCTTCCCCGTTTACATATTCATCATTGTAACCATTTTTGTCTTTGTAATCAAATCATTATACCACATTTTTTTTTTTTTTTTTTTTTTTTTTTTTTTTTTTATGAACTGCATTAACTGTTCTGTTCTTTAAAAAAAATCGCATTTTTAGACAAGCACATCTACATTTTTATGTCGTGAAAGTTGTGCACATGTACGGATATAATAAAATAGGATTATACATATCAGTTAAACAGCATATCATTATGAACTTCAAAAATGATACGCATTAAAAAGAATGAAATTACCCTTATTTCAGTTCCTTTACAATTGGTTGCACGAGTATACAATTTTTAAGCATATAACGAAAGAATCCAAAAAAACAACCCAACTTGCGTGCAAATTTAACTTTCATTTTAACTTGTACAGATAGTTCTTCATCAATTATTCGATGATATTACCTCAATTCGTATATAGCACATTGGCACATTGCAAAAGAAAAACTTATTAAAATGGTGCGTTCAGCACGATGCATCTACAAAATTACACAGAACGGTCGTATTTTATTCAACAAGGGAAAAAAATTTAGTGAATTCCCCCGTAAATGGACACATATACGATACCAAATATTTCAATAAAACTGCGCATATGTTCGTGAACAACTATCCTTAGTTATGTATGCATATGTAGGTAAACCCAGTGAATTGCCACATTCATCATGTATTATATTGGCCACTAACTGTTGATCATCAACAGGTGGCATAATTACAAATTGCACACAGAATTCTTATGTGTAGCTTCATGCATAACTGCTTAATTACCTCAGGCGCAGCGCTTTTGATTTGCATATATTCATATTTATATTTAATTATATAGACATATGTTTTTCATAACCTAGAACAATTCAAATTGCTTGCTTATCCCGCGTCAATACAACAACAAACTGCATTGTTACGAAACACATATGCCAAAAATAGCCATACCATGAAAAACAAAATGCTAGAACAAAAATTGGGAACCTGCTAAAAAGGTGAATATTTCCTTTTTTGATTCTGCTACTTAGCATTTTGTTCATGCTCTTCAAATTCTTCGCATTTTTTACACTTCAAATTAATGTTGCCATTTTTTGTTCATTCGTTTTAAAGCATTTGTATACGTTGCCCATTATTCATCCTCATGAATGTAACTTAATGTTTATATATTTCTTTAAGCGCTCTTTTTTCTCATGAAGATTCATTCCTGCAGGTATCTTTACAATGCTTCAAATTAATTCACATGTCATAAAATACTGCATAGTTTTCTTTCATTTTATTATTCTTGATGTTTCTAATTGTTTTAATTATATAAACGATAAAAAATGACCAAATTATTGAAGTAGAAAAAAAATCGAAATAGTGATGCTGCAGAAATGAACTTTTTATTTATAAATAAAACGAATATTCCTTAAGAAGACACATATAACAACTCGAACGCATCCTGAAATAACACATTGGAAACAATACCATTAAAGATGCCGCTATTTCTGCTACGTAAACGTGATTTATACCTTACATAACTCCATGCCTAATTCTACATTTCTTTTTTTTTTTTACTGTTGCAAAACCTGTGGCTGCAGAGAATTATTCTATTTCGTACATTTATAATTAATGGCAAAAAAAAAAATAAAATAAAAAAAAATACGAATGACAAAATTTTAGCAGTTCCGAAATAATCTAATTTTAATTTAAAAAAAAAAATTATTATTTCTATTCCCTCCTTCTTAAGCAAAACTTCTTGTGTGGTTAATTGTTCTATGCATGATATATAATTGTAGCATCAATTTAAATCGCAATTTTGTAATGTTTTAATTTGCCATTTTATTCTTGCGCCTTAGCATAATTTTGCAAATTTAAAAATAAAATTATTGTAAAATTTTTAGTCCAATTTTTATCCCCAATATAGGAAATATTATTGAATAAAATAGAACTAATAACAAAACATGTTACTTGTATTTTTCTTTATGTTGACATATAAATCCATTTGTACCTAAAATCCCCTTTTTCCATTTAACCTCAAAAATATTACAAGAACGTTACTCCATTTATTATTTTAATACAAGCAGTAGAGTATATTTTCTGATTTTTATAATTTTTTTTTCACCATTGATCTAACTTTTCTATAGGTAACAAAAATAGAAACGAATAAATGCTATGAATTGTAATTGAGAACTCTGAGCTTTTATGAATAAATTAATTGTCTACATGTACAAAAATGACACAGAATAATATTATACGTATATATACATATGTGGACACAAAAAATTAATAATATTTCACATCAATGTTAATTTTCTTTTTTTTGTTGTTGTTTTGCTTTATTTAAAGGTACCCTTGTTGAAAATGACATCTGATAATAACTCTGTGACTAGTGAAGACTTAAAAAACATTCATAGCGAATTGTCTAATGTAATATCAGCTGATGTGGTAACTGCAAATTCTAGACTCATATTCATCTTAGCTACTACGCTTATTGTGATCTACCTAGGATTGATCTCTTCCGTTGGGGTACGAATGGAGGAATACTGCTTTCCTTCGGCATGGTTGAACAATGTCCCAAAACATTTTTGCAATACGTGTACCTATATTTATACATACGCCTGTTTATTATATATACATTGTATACATTACATATGTAATGTGCAATTTACCTTTTCATTTATCCTTTCAGGTACCTCTTAATGTAGAGGAAGGATTAGCCAACGCCGAATTTATTGATTTGCCGATAGATGATGACATACCTAACTCTGGTGACGCACAGGAAACCGCGGAACAACCAGACATGGACAAATCCAACGAATCGGAAAGGGAAAGTGAAAGTTATTCTGACGAAAATTAGCAAAAATGAAATAAAAGCAATTACGAAGGCGTTCATATCTACCTGCCTTACTAATAATGGTGACTTCTAATCAATCAGATAAATTCAGACATACGTGAAACTTGTTAGACAAAGCTTTTCCCATCGTTACAATAGCCCCATCATCAGTTATTTTCCCCTTTGAAGTGTACACGAAGATTATCCTTTTTTATGTGCACATGAGTATATTCCTATCAAACATAATACATAACTGAACCATGGTTAATCCCTACGTTAAAACGTAAATTGGGCTGTCCTTCGGATTATCATATTGTGAACGTTCACAAAATCGTGAACATATATAATTTTATGTTATGCATACATAAAATGTACAGGCATCAGAACTGTTACAAACCTTTTAGTAAAATAATGCTTTCCTGCCTTCTTTACCCTATTTAAGGTAGGAAAAAAAAAAAAAGTGTACACTGTTCATGCTAATTTAAGTGGATTATATTGTTTTTTTTTTTTTTTTTTTTTTTTTTTTTTTTTTTTTTTTTTTTTTTTTTTTACACATATCTTTGCCTTTTCTTCTAAGTATTCTTTAAACAACATATGCTTCATTCTACGCTTTCATTTTCATTCTCATTTTTTCAAATGCAAAACATATAATTTTTATAAGTACCCCTCTGAATATACAAACAACATAATTATATATGTTATGTACCACCCCCCAAATTCAATCATCATTATGAGTAATCATAATATGATAACTACATGGATAATACCTTCACTTTCGCTGAAGGTCAAGTCTTACGTGAAAAGCCCATTATGATAGCAACCCCCGTTTCAGGTTCATCCGTACAAAAATGTGTTATATATTTTAAGTGCACACACATCGTTTTCCCTATTAATACACTATTTCTGTTTCATCAGCGCAACTTTGTAGAACGAATATATGTTGCCTTCCCGAAATGATGTTATCACCATTTTCGTGTTGTAAAATCCAAAATTGTGTTAACAAAAGCACGGTTATGGACACATATATGAAATAAAAAAATGCGTAAACATATAAAACCCTTTTTATATTTCAGAAATATTTTCTCCTCTTTTGTGCATTTCACACGTATGAATGGAACACTGCTTAATGCAATAATCCGTGAAAATTATATGCATTATACTTTCTACACACTTCACCTTTTAGTATGCAATTTCTTCAGACATGCCAATTTAACAGAACTTTTAATTTATATGTATAAAGTAATTCCTTTTTAAAAACTGTATGAGGGCATTTTATGTGGGAACAAGTTGTTCATTAGGGGGTATATGTGTATTTATTTCATATAATTTGTTCTCGTAAAAGTTGTTCAATTTGGACATGAATTCCACTGGTCTTATTTATTGGTGTACAAGCTGGCCCATTTCATAACCTCCATGGAGTAACAATGTATCCACTTTTTTTTTTTTTTTTTTGCCAATCATCTGTGTCATAAGCATGCCGCAATTATTTACCACTATACTTGTAAATTTTCTTTGATAAAAAGATTTATTCCTACTTTTTACGTCATTTATATCACCTTTTAAAAGCATCTGAACGAATTCGTTATTATGGAAAATTTAATTTAAAGAATCTGCGTATAATATAATTGCAATAGTGTTCTTAAAAATTAAAAAATTTGCGCACGAAGCTTTTTAAAAATATTCATAAATATGCACAATATGTGAATGTAAATTTCGTCACGACATTTAAAGCATTTACACTTGGGAATTTTTTCCCACGTTGATTTTTGTTTTCCAAAAAATGTATGTGCCAAACAAAGGATGCAAACATGTATGGTTTAAAATTTCCTATTTTTCTTAACAAACATTCATGCATAACTTCTTTTTAATCATAATTATTTCCCAACATGTGTGTACATATGTGTTAATGGGTAAATCTTCCTAAATGGCTGAGCTCTGTAAAAATTTTAAAACCCATTCTCCAACATGCATCATCACAGCACATATATTCATCACATTATTGTGTTTTTTAAAATATACTTGCAGCACTGTTCAGAACATTCTTCATCATGATAAGACGTACAAACTCGTTTCACATTATTTAAAAAAAAAAAAAAAAAAAGACAATAAAAATTGTCTTATTTATCTTACAAATGTAGAACAGAATAAGAATTACTTTTCTTTTAATATTTCAAAATATTTTGATAAAGAAAGTTATTCTGTAATATGTACAACAAAGAAATTGCAATGATTTTGTACACATTATTATTCGTTTCGTTCTTATTTAAATCCTAAATATATAACCACATATCTTGTATTCACCGTTAAAGCAAATTTTTTGCATCATTTAATGTATGTTCTAATGAAGCGATTAAACTAACATAATCCCCAAAAATATTATCCTCGTAATTAGTTATCTGATATTCGCAATATTGAAATTTTAAATGTAATTTACATATATTATACATTATACTACATATTTGACGCCTCATCATTAAATAATTATAGGTGATTATTATATCTTCAATTGATTGCACACGTGGGCAAAAACCACTGAGATCATTATATGTCTTAAAGAATTGTTGACACAATTGTGAATTATGCTCTATAAACTCTAGTACAACTAATAAGTTGTTTATTAAAGCTGAAGTAAAATAAAACTCACTACGTTCTATTAGTTCTTTTTCAACAACTTTAATCATCAATGGCCTAAGTGTTACAATAGCATAACTGAGAGTATAATGTAAGGATGTCAAAAGAATATCATCCCTATATATATAGTGTTTAGGTAAAGGGAAATGTTGTGAAATAAGCAATGCATCTTTCCTAATTTTAGTACGTTTTCGAGCAAAGAAAGATAATATATTTTTTACACACGATATATTCTTAACTTGGTAAAAAATCATATCTCCCACGATCTCACGTTCGCTATTAGTCAAATGCCTAGTTTTACGTATCTCTTTTAATCTTTCAACTGCATTACTATTTTTCATATTTTTTTCTTGTATAATCCTTATTTTTGCATCATTAAAATTGCAAATGTCACTTTTTTCCTCAGATAAATATGTTCCCATATTATTGTTAAAAAAACGGTATATGTTAAAACATGTGTTTGTTTTACCAAGATACTCCAACAGATAACTATAGCATGGTAGATATTTAATGCGTTGTTGGATATATAAAGAATTAATTCTTGCCAAAGATAAATTACCGATCATTGTAGTATTTAAAAAATCAAATAATTGAATATTCATGAAATCATCAAAATGTAACATTTCGAATAATTCCGTTTCACTTTTCTGTTCAAAGTTTTCCTGTACTACTCCAAAAGGCATACGAATATTGTCAAAGTCAATACCTTTCGACAAATATAACGGATACTCATTATGCAATTGAGAAATTTCTTCTGGTCCGTGTATCCTTGCCTTCAAATATCCCTCTATTACTTCCTCATTAATTTCATAAGGTATTTTACTACATTCCATTAGTACATGTCTAAACTCATGTATCTCCGGGTCATTCGTATTTTTCGGCGTTTGCTCTGGTTCGTCTTTTGATGGTGATTCACTTGAACTTGTTTCCTTTTCTTGTACATGTTCCAACTGTACTTCTTCTTCATATTTCCCCTTGTATTTTTTATTATCTTCTAATTCATCATATGCTGGCCTTGAAAATGATCTGCTTCTTCTTGGGCATGCTTCTCCAGATTCAATTTCCTCCTCCTCTCCAACTGCACACTCTTTTTCAGATTTTTTCTGTTCGTCTGCTTCTTCCTCCAAAGTGTCAAAAGAAAAAAGTTTTATAACTTCTATAATAGTATCATCACATGAGCCTTTCCTGTCTCCTGATTTTACACCACACTCAGGTTCATTTTCAGCTAAAACTACTTTTCTCACACATCTGTATTGCATGAAATATGTATGAATATAGGATAAAACTATGGCCAATTTGTAGAAATATTTCATTTTAAGACACAGTATATGCAGGAAAAAAAAAAAAAAATGTAGAATATATATAACACAATTTTATTTTCGGCAACAACGTTAATATCACAGTTGAACGCTCTTATATTGTATTATTTGCATTACATGAGTAATTTAAAACCTTAACTGTACCTCATAAAATAAGAAGAGCAACAGATAGGAAGCAACAGTTAACTATAGACACAATTAGTATCGATGCAAATTCAACAAAAAAGTGAAATCCTAAAACGTATGTTACCACTAAAATGCGCATACTAAACAAACACATAAAAATATTAACTTGATCACATTTTATTTTTGTACAATAAGCCTACTTCAGCACTCTTATGTTACAATCATATTTATTTACTTTCGTGTTCTGCACTAGTTAGATATCAATAAATTTATAGGCAAGCAACAACATTCTATACTTATTTTGCCTTTTTTAATCATACAGCTTTCCTCTCTTTACAGAATTTTTCATTGTTCATATGAAGCACGAACTAAGCTTTTTTCTGCTTACGAATTATAGTGTTGTGTACTTGTCAAGTGTTCTTAATTAGTACGATCGCGGATAAATGATTAAAGAAAAAAAAAAGTAACACCATAAAATGAATGGAAACTGTTAAATGAATTTATTCCCATGCGAAATTAAATTAAAACACGTTGGAAAAATATGCTATGAAAATACTCGTCTGCTATGGATTTAACAAATTACGGTCAGGGTTTAGGGGTTCTACAAATTAAATAAAAAGAACAAACGCCACTTGCGGCATGCAGGCATACGAAAATGTAAGGGTTATACGTGTGTTGATGATTTAGTTGAAATAAATTTATATATATATTTTTTTTTTTTTCACAACATATGATATGTTTTTTTTACATTTAATCCACACACATAAATGACTTGAACGTATACTCGTCAAATAGGCTTATTTTTATTTATAAAATTATTAAATTACATTTTTTTTTAATCTAGGAAATAGATATGCCTGTGGGTTCGCATGTATGTGGTATTAAATAGACCTCTACCATCATGATTTATAATTCTTCTTGTGAGAAAAGCAATTCAGAAATAATAACAGATTAAAGTTTATTTTGTTCTCATCATTTTGTGTTAATTTAAATGTAATTATTAGTGGCTGTAAGGAGTTTTCTTTTTTGTTCTTTTTTGCATATGCATATCATTAACCAGTTCATTTTTTTTTTTTTTTTTTACATGCTCACAGAATAGTTCTTACATTACAGGAAGAACAAAAAAAAAAAAAAAATGCATGCCGTTTTTCAATCAAATAAAATAATTTCTTAAAAAGAAGAAAAATTTGATATATTCTGCTTCCTAATTAAATGCAAAACTTAAATAATTGTACCATTCTTTAGTTTTTCTCTAAATGACTTCTACACAGAATAATTGTACCACACATAACTGTGCCTATATAATTAGTATAAAATTACTCCCACGCTGAAGGAAACGAGAAATAATGTACATCTCATTTCAATCGACACATTTTTTTCTAACATTAAGATGCACTACTATTTAGTAAAAAATTGTGTGAAAAAATTGACTTAATAAAAAAATTCATTTATTTTTCTATTATACATGTTAATTTTTAAAAACATATACAAAATAAAATTGTTCTAGTGTACAATAGTATACAATGGGAAAATAAACACTTATACACATTTTAGGACACTCCGAAAGGGAAAAATCCTTTTTGAAATGCTGTGTATTTAAGCACTGTGTTTAGAAGGAAAATTATCGATGGTCAATATTTTAGGGATCTCTTTTTTTGTTCGTTCGGGAATACGTAAAATTAATGTACAAAAATTTAGACCCATGCTTTATTTAATTTATCTTACATTGGTGAATAAAAAATATTGAATGGTTAATCATTTACTGCATGAACACTTTTTGAATATAAAAAGGTAAATGCTCCATTTTTATATATAGAAAATATAAGGAATAATTCAAAAAATGTGATATATTATTATTAGAATCTCAGTGAACTCAAAAAGAACGAATCATACTTTGAACCAAAAAGATAACCTTTATCCCCATAGTCCATCTTATCATTGCTTTCAGCCTAATCCTCATCGTCACTTTCATCGCTTCCACCTTCCTCCACAGTATAAAGTGATTCATGATAAGGTCTTCCCCTTCGCCTCCTACGTTGTGCATTAGACATATTCTGGTAATCCGCATGTAGTCTTCTCAACATGTCATTTAATTGAACCTCTTCACTTTTTTTATTATTGCTTATCTCACAAATATTCTAAATGATGCATTAAAAATTGAGAAAAAAAAATTATTGCAGTTCAATGTATACAAAATTTGTGGAACAATTAAAAATGAATATAAATACATATGAATATGAACATATCTCCTTACCAAAATTATTATAGCCATCCATATAGCAACAGATATCAGAACCATTGTTGTTATCCAAAGAGGTAGATAAAAGTTAAACGAATGATGTGGAATCCTAGTTTCATTTGTGGTGATATTCATATATGATGGAGAAGTTGTATTAATAGTGGTAGCAGTACCATTTTCCACCATATCTCGAAGTGTGCTCATGGTATAGTTTGCCGATTCTGTAAGGACTTCGCCTAATGTAGATACATTTGTTCCTACTGTTGTGTTTATTGCATCACGCACAAAATTTTGTGCTCCAGTAGTTGCAGATGTAACTATATCTTCAAGAAGGGACACACTAGGCTGTGTAGTTGTATTGGCAAGTAATCCATGAAATGCAATATTATTAGGTGCGTCTGTAGGTAACTCTCCTCTAAAAGGAGAACTGAATGGTGTGCTCATTGCAGTAGAAGTCGTTGGTGAACTACTAATGTTCATATTAGAAACTGCACTTTCAAGTAATGTTATTAATGTGGAAGTAGGAGATCCATCTGTTAATCCAGGTGTAGTTAAATTTCGTTCAGCCATATTTTCCAGTTGTACTCTTAAATAAATATATGTATGTGTGTAACTATTAATAAAGAATAGCCACCACTTCCTTCTTCAATTTCGTGTGTAATAATGGAATATACTTCAGAAGGTTCTTCTATATAAAATTAATTCGGAAATCACAAAGAGAGCAAACTCCAGATTGTGAACTTCGTCAACAAAATTATATTTAGCATAAATATTATGTCTTCTACAGTGTGTTTTTCAATTTTTTTTTTTCTAACCGGCACTAAATAGTATTTATCCTCCAACTTCGGAAAGCACAATTTTGTGTGCTCGTTCGAATTCCCGACACACAAAAGGTGATGAATGCTGTTAGTGGCCACTCGGTTTTTTACTTTTGTAAAAGGTGTGCATTGGAAGTCAACAATGATAAGATAAACGGAACTTTTAACGCATTAACATGCAAAATTTCCGTTATGTGTTCTACACAGTTTCAAAATGCACCTTTTTAAGTAGTTTTACATTTATACTATATACATACATGTAACGAACACATCAATGAATTGTTCTGATAAAATGTATATTTCAAAAAAATGGAAAAATTGACTTTGCTTAATTTTCACTATTTATCATACACAACAAAATTTTTTACTTCTCAAGAAATTGTAAAAAGAGTATGAAAAATAATGCAGAAAAATAATTATGTAGCATTTACATTTTTTTCTTTCAATTTGGGGTTTAAAAAAATACGTATGTCTGCATATCCTTTACACACTTAGAAGTAAAAACATTTAAAAACAGCGTTATCAGATGTAGAATAATTTTTCGCATTAACCTACCTATGGTTCTGTCGTGCCACTAAATATTACCAATTATTGACATTTTGCGAACAACGTGCAATGGCCCTTCAACCCCTTATCTCACAACCTTAAGTGTCTTAACTGTTCTGTGTTCACTTCTCTGGTTTAGCATGCATTGCAACTGAAAAATATCTTCTGTTTTTTGTTATGTGCTTTCTTGTTTTTGAGCTTTTTATGATCTTATTCCGTTTTGTGCATTTTTCGTTCCCTTTGTATTCCTGGGGAGTCATATTCAATATGTTGATCTGTAAGGACAAAGTCAAAATTGTATCATTTTGTGCAAAAATGTGGAAGTATACAAACTACATGATTAAAAAAAAGGTCATTAATGAAAGGATTTTCTTTTCTTGCTTTATTTTTTTTCGAGGTTTTATTTTTATCCGAACATGTTCCACCAGGATATAGAAAATGAGTCATATTTTGAGAAGTAACAGAGAAGTATCTTTTAAAGAATTGCAAAATATATGTGCGCTTAATATTTAATATAATTTTATCAACATTCGTAAAGCCTAATTCAGAGTTCGTAAATGCACCTAGACAAATGAAAATACACGGATGAACGGTATTAACCCCAAAGTACAATTGGTGCCTCATCAGGCCGATTCTTTTTTTTTTTTTTTTTTTTATGTAATCCAAATGGGTTGTGCTAAAAAGCAAGGTGTAGCCCACGTACAACACTGCAACTTGTTCACCAATATGACTGCCAAATCACGTCGTGCTGTTCTCATTTTTATAGAACTTTCACACTGTCACTCATTAATTAATAGTTTTTCCAGTTTTCAACATTTTGAGTTCTAACTGTAACTAGATATAGGCATAAAAAAAGGTTACCCCTTTGACCAAGCGTTAAATGTCATTCGTATTTATTTTTGCCACCCAATTTAGTTAGCATGAATGGCCTCACTTCCACTTTACAAAGACACAGCGTAACACTTAATGGTAAGGTACTCCAACTCCTGTGCATGGTATCATTGCATATATTTGTGAAGGCTTTGTTTTATTTTATGCATCTTTGTTGGTTTATTTTTTTTTAACATTATATGCCTTATCTATGCGTAGGAAAATTGCCAAAAATGCATAAAAAGAAAAAGAAAGCAGTGGGCACCTGCTACAACATAGCGTACCTCAATTTTCAATTTAATAATAACCAACTAATCATTTAATACACGTTTCAAAATGCAGAACAATCCTGTGAACGCCCTCCTTGTATGCATTAACGCGAAAACGAATAAGCAATTCCGATTTGCCAATTTGTTATGACCCTGCTACTTTACACATTCTCCCATATATGTACGTACGGGTGCATATTTACATCACCCCAGTGTTGTCCCTTTATGTGCTAAAATTCCCTTTTCCTATGAACAAGGAATCTGCATCAACGTGGCGATTCCTTCCACATTAACCTCAAATTTTTTTTAGAAAGTTTGACGAAAGAAGGTGTGCACTATTGTTATGAAGTGGCAATATAAACGCATAATTACTAAAATGTACACTTTTTACACAGAAACAAGTACAGCTGGGGAGTAATACAAGTGGTGCTAGCCGAGTAAGCACTTGGACGAATGAGTATAAGCAAACGTGCATACTTCGAACCAGCTATAGTAAATCAAACAATGGGCCTACTTTTAAAGTCAAACCAGTTGGCACTTTTATCATACATGCTCATTTTAGGCCTCAAATAGTGCGGACACGCGTTGTCTTCACCGCTGAAATGCTCCCCCTTAACATCCTCCTCGTCACACACGTCATACCCCAAAATATTGATGGTATTTTTATCTAAAAATTTAGGTGAACAAAATGAATTCTTCTGAATATAGCTATATTCATAAATCAAGTTTTGTATTTTCTCCTTAAATTCTAAAATATCATCCATAGTTAGATATTCCAAATAGTGGTGCAGGTGTGCCTTTCTTTTAAATAACTTATTAAATCTTTCCAAAATTTGTAAAAAGGTGTTTCGTATTTCACACGAATTAATTAGACACAGTAAACTATATGGCTGGTTTAAAGGAGGTACATGGCATAAGCCTATTTTGGTGGCATCCCTATTGTACCGTAAAATATTCAAATTATTCTTCGTTAATAATATATTCTTGGTAACATCTGAAATGTTGATATTTCCCCGAACTAAAAAAGCCATAGATAAACTGAGACCATCCTTGGGGTTGGCAATAAGCATTTGATTATTATGATTCAAAACATTTTTAAATAAGTGGTCGAATGTTCTAATATTTTCAGTTTCTGTGCAAGGACTTAAAGATGACAGCATAAAATTAAAAAAAGGGTAAGGAATTAAATTTGTGCATATTTCATTTATATCTACATTTAATGATCCTTCAAATCGCATAGAACTTGTTAAGTTTACAATTACATTAGCCACTATATTATTCATTTTTGAATAATCATTCTTGTCATTTTCTTTATGTTTCAATTTTTTACCATTTAAAATGTTTAACAACGCATCGTTCGAAACGGGTAAAACGCAATTCGAAAACTCGTGAATTTTGGTCAAGGCAAAAGAGCTATTATACGGAGATGTTATCACATCATCGCAAGCCGATGGAAATACGCAATTGCTAAATTTTATCTGTTTATAATTATCAGACAGCATTTCTAAAATGTAGGAACCCAATCCAGAACCCGTTCCACCACCTAATGATGATGTGATATAAAATGATTGCAGCGAATCACATTTTTCTACATTCCTTCTAATTATGTTGTCAATTAAATTCCCATACATTCTTCCATAATGCATATACCCTTGGGACCAATTATTTCCCGCACCGGATTGTTGGGTAAAAATATTATTTTCGTCAAAATAGCAAGAAAGGGAACTTTTCATAATTTCATTTGCTACTCCTGTTTCGGTGTCTATCAATACAGCTCGTGCTTTCAAACTTTCTTTTTGAGTTAAATTAAATTTTTCGCTCTCATTTTCGAAAAAAGAAGTCACTGAATCGTTCATAAAACTGTATTTTCCTATGAGCTCTTTTTTCTCATTTATTTTTTTGTTTAACTGTTCCTTAATTGCTACAGACCAAAATTCATGTCCGAGCTGATTTCCACACTGTCCCACGTGTAAAAATAGAATTTCTCGCACCATGGAGTGTTCCTATGCTATAGCCTTCCTTTTAACTCACAGTTTTTTACAGATAAAACCGTTCCTTCGCTTTATCATTAATTAAGAATACCTATTTTACTCATGCGTAAAAGAGCTTCTCTTCTGTGTCATGAAAATGTTCATTCTGTGGAATCATTTTTTCGATTCCTTATGCATGTGGAAATATTATATTTTTCTTCTCCATCTCCCATCGCGCTTTTATGTCTTCCACGTCTCAAACCAAAGTTGCACATATTCATATTGCACATACGCATTTAAATTATGCCTTCCACTCGTTAATATAACCCATTTTTCTATATAATAATTTGATCCACCTGCCCCCATTCTGTTAATCACGACTATTTAATTACGCACTGTTTCATTAAAGATTATATTTTTTTTAGAACACATGTAACCGCGCAGAGACAAAACGTGCATATCAGCCATTTCTATTTTCCTTTTTTTTTTTTTTGCAAAAAAACATGTTGACTCAATAAAAACACCACAAGGAAATCACTATAAAAAAGTGAACGCAATTTTGCGTGAAAATAATTTAACCTTTATTTGAGCTTTATATCATCTCAACAAGGGGTAAAAAAAAAAAAAATAAAATTCATAAGGAATGATCGTAGATTTTCCCGTCTACCTGGGATTACCTAAAAATGATCCGAATGGGCACAATGTATTTGTTATATCCAAAGGAACACATCATTTTTCAAAATAATTTACTCTTCATTTGGTAGAAAATGATGGAAATACTCAAAGTGAATCACCAAAAAAAAAAAAAAGAAAATGTGCAGTTATCTTTTCCCATTGTTTAATCCTAAAAGGTGAAATATACTAACAACATAGAATCCACGTCATACCTTATTAATGTTATTGTACAAGGTAGACATTAACCCTTTTTGAGACACATGTATTCCTGCGACATCGAAGTAACAAAACTGAGATGGTGTCCTACACGCACAAAAAAAAAAAAAAAAAAAAAAGGAAACGACAGTTTTGATGCTTTACGAAAGTATGCCTTTTTAAAAAAACAGTTTAAAATAGGTACAAGTCAAAAAGGGCAAATACTCCACCATGTACCCATAAAACAAATTGCTTAAATGTTATCAATGCATAAGGAAGCGATGGATTGGTAGAAGAAGCATGCCTCCTTGTGAGGCTTGCCCTCCCTTTTCCTTCAAATGAGGCATATGTTTTCGAGATATTACTAGCCCATTTTGTCGCATTTTCGTTGATCCTTTACAGCTGCCACGTGGCGATTGCATGCAAAAGGATAGACATGTTACGCGTTCACATGAAGGGCTTACTTTTCGAATTTAAGGGAATGGCGTGTTTCGCGTTATAACAACTGGCGCACACTTTAATTTTTACCCTATGCAAATGTGATTATAATTCAGGTCTCATGCACAAACATATTTGTCGCACGTTATCTGATAATCCACCATCGAAAAGCGATATGTCAAATTCACCATTCGGAGTTATAAAAAATGATGCTACGTTGGTACTTATTTATTTACCTTCCATCCAATGAACATTCTGCTTGCCATAAAATAGTTCTATGCACTTAAATTCCTATATTATGATCATGTTTACCTTCTACAATCGTGCTTATTCCGTGCATTTGATGCGCCTTATACAGACAGCCCCTCAAAATAGTAAGACTAACGAAAATAATTCCCCCAACCATGTGTTAAGTGATAATTCGATAAGCGCAACAAATAAAAAATAACATAGTGGTCTTCACATTCACACGGAATTAATACAATCCATTTGAGGGGTACATTAGCTCAGCAAACGGAAACAAAACTTTTAATGATATTATGGAGGTAATAAAAAAATGGATAGACCCCCTGGAAAACGCCTGTACAATGCCAGTTTATGTTATTTATTAACCAGTTAAGCAATTTTAAAAGTGGCCTTAACACCACACTTCCATTCTTTATTGTCCCCTATTTTTCACATTTTTCACCTCTGTAAACATTAACGGGAAAATTGTCTTTCGCAGAACTTGTGAAAATTCTGTTGCCCTCACGGGCTTATATTTGTGTATTTCTTTATGATAAATGTATAGAAGTTATTCATACATACAATTTTAAAAAGGGCCCTAATACGCAATATACATGGAAAAAAGGTAAACTCCTGAAACGGCGTTACGTACGTGTGCATGTGTACATATGTTTCATCATCCTTGACTTGCAAAACACACTTCTATTGTTCGCGTGAATTTAAGCATAATGACACCTTGGATGAAAAAGTTAAATATCGTTTATTGTTCCCAACACAGAAATGCAAAAAATGTTTGCATTAAAAAATGCCACAAAAAATTGCAAACACGGAGAAGAACAAATAAGTAAAATTACCTAGCAAAATTGATGGCATGGTTAAAAGAGAATTGGCACGTCCGCAAAATTTTTTTTTTTTTTTTTTTGCAAAAAATTTGACAAAAAAAAAAAAAATTCATCGCCATTTTTACATCTTTGTGAACTTAGTAACATATTTTTTTTCCTTTCGTATTAAAAACATTTTTTTTCTTTTTTTTTTTTTTTTAGATTTGCAACTTTCTGTATTTTTCCATTCCTTTTTAAAATGGATTATACAATGGCATCTTTACGTACTCTAAACCCTTTAAATGTGACTTTTTTCCCCATTTCTCATATCCATACTTAATTTTTACATTAATGCAAAGTACAATTTGTTTGCTTCAAATTGTGGGAACAACAAATAATTTACCCATGTAAAAGATAAATTAAAAAACAAACAAGTGTATTTGCTTATATATATATTTTTACATACATCCATTCGAAGAAGTTTGCTATTAAACAAAAAAGCTTAAGGAGGCATCCCTTAGCAAAAACATAAAAGATATTTTGCGCAAATGTTGAAAAGCATCCGATTTGTTAAACATTATACCCAAGTTTGTGAAATTTCTGTATCTTTTTTTTTTTTTTTGTGTTGTATGATTTAATCATCAATTTTTTTTTTTTTTTTTATCCTTCTGCGCCTATTTGTATAAACCTGGAGCTTTCAACAACTTCGACCATTAACATTGATGAAGTGGGAATGCTTAAAAAGGAATAATAATGAATGAACTGTTTAACTGTATGATATAATCGCAACACAGGGAAACTAATACATTTGACCATTCGCCCTTTTTCTGATATGTAATTATACCTGGTGTAAGTGTGACGTGGTAGCCGCTTATTATTTGTAACGTTAAAACCGTTTTCACAATAAAAAAAAAATATGCCATCAAATCGGACAACTGCGTCAACTGAAGGGGAAGGCCTACAACAGCACGTATACATATGCAATTCCACATAGGTACGTGTAAGCCACAAAGTTGTACCCCTAGCAATACTCCACACATTTGATCTCGATCTTCAGTAATCCCGTCATGCCCAATTAAACACCGTTCAAAATGAGTTTAAACAAAATTAAATACGATGAGCTGGAGGAACTAAGGAGGAAAAATGATGTCCTGATGAACTTGCTAAATAAGTTAATCGCGTCGGATAAGAAAAGGGTATTTCTCTATCCCGTCAATGTGCAGTTTGTTCCAGATTATTTGAACATAATAAAAGAACCAATGGATTTTACCACCATGAAACAGAAAATCCAAAATTATAAATATAGAGACTTTCAAGAATTTGAAAAGGACTTCTTCTTAATTATCAATAACTGTTACACATACAACGACAAAAGTACCATCTACCACAAAATCGCAGAAAATGTAGAAAATTACTATAAAAAGATTACCCCAAAAATATATAGGAAATATCTAAATATACATCTGCTATATCACAGTGAGGATAAGGATATGTTAAATAATACCCTATATGACCCAAACTTAATTGAAGCCAAAAAAACACCCGTTAAGGAAATTAAAAAAAATCTAAGGCCAAAAAAACAAGGAAAGGTAGGTAGACCAAGCAAAGGAAGCATAACTCTTAAAAACGAACACGATGATACGAGTCAACCCGCCAATGTTAATAAAAAAAAAAAAAAAGGTAACAATAAAAATTTAGCAAAGACAAATCTGCACATGCAAGGCAACAACCATTTTTTTGACAACGCCTATGGATCATTTAACGGTATGATCCCAAATGACATGTATGGATATAATAATGATGCATATGCAAGTTTAGAGAATATGCTGGAGCAGGAAAACTTCTCCACAATCTTAGATACCATTCAAAATAGTAATGATAAATCGAAGGATATTTTTGGCATGTTGATTAAAGTACTGTCAGATAATAAGGGCAGCTATGCCCCCCTATGTAACTATGTAAATATGAGCAAATCGTTACGGAAAGTATTTTTTGGAGTTCCCGCTTCATCAAAAAAGAAAAAGAAAATATATTCCCCAACGTGCAGTAGTGAAAATTACTCACAGCTATCCCCAAACAGCGGAAAAAGAAACATAACCGACATGGTGAACATAAGCGATGTTAATGATAGTGCAAACGTAAAAAATAAAAAGAGGAAGCACTCAAATGAAGAGGAGCAGGATAATTACACGGGACACTATTCGCACAGCAGTGCTCAAAACGAGACCGATGCTAAGACTGACACAAGCATTGATAGAGAAGCAAGCTGTGCGGATTGCGAGTCGCCCCCCTGTCAGCTCGACAGTAACGATAATAACAACGCAGACGAATTAAACAATGATAGTGTAGAAGCGGCCGAATGCCAGGATAATCCCCTCGCGGACACATTAAATAACCACTCTGCAGAGGAAGTAAAACCCCCAGATAAGAAAAACACAGAAGAAAACGATTTCGTAACATACAACATTGAAAAAAAAGAATTAACCATGAAACTACTAAACTACAAAGAAAGTGTAAAAAAATTTATCGGAGAATCAAATCTTCCTACATTCATTAATATATTCCCAAACATTTACAACATTCTAGATAATGCTGATTCAAAAAATTTATACTATGCTGCCTTCAATGACTTGAGAGTTTTCGGCTTGGATGTAGCAGATTTTAAAGAATTTAACCAAAAAATCTCCTACAATAAAAATTACCTCATGGGAGTTGGTAGATATCATATAAAAAATGTCCTAACTTTGGACAAAAATCTGTCAAACATAATGCTTAGCGATGGGAGTAAATCTCATTTGTGTGAACAGATAAAATCGTACCTGTCAAATGGGAAAAATAAAGCCCAGAATAGCAGTGCCTCACGGCACCACAGTGAAAGTGAGAAGACCAAACAGTCAGCTACAAACACAGAGAAGTCCGTCCGAACAAGTGAAAATGAAGCAGAAGATACTTCACAACTCGGAATGGGAAGTGCGTCAGAAAATCCCGTTATGCAAAACGTTGAACATGCTAGCAGTTCTAACGTGTACAGTAAAAATGAGGATCATTCTTCCCAAATGCAGAATAAATCACCTACAGGTAGTACCTTTGGGAACAGGCAAAATACGAATAGCCCCCTTGACAACTCTCATTTCATGTACAGTGACACACATTTTAAGGACAATCCGAACTATAACAGTGACCAATTTTCGAGCGATTCATCTGACATTGACAATTTAGATATGAGGAACTTTTTAGACACGTATAATTCATATAGCAAGAGATTTGTAAGGAGGCAACAAATTTACAGAATTTTGAAAAATAGAATTAAAAAGTTGTTTAAAAGAAATGCCATGCAGAAGGCCATGTCGTAAGGGGGTAGCAAAACGTAGCATTCCTCAGAAGGAAAAATGTTTTTCCTCCGAATGGTCTTCCCCTCTCTCTCTGTATGTATATATATGTACCCTCTTTCATATAAATTTGTGTAGATACGCACGATGTATATATACAAGAACAGCGTGAACCGCTGCATCATGCACCGTGCATCGCGTTTGCATTAAAATGCCCATTTTTGTTTTTAAAACGTGATAAATCATCACAAAAAAACAATATATAATATGAAATGTTTCTAATTTAGATAATTAATAAATTGCCCCCGGTGCTACATTTTACTTAGAGTATTGCGTAATTACGAAGCAGTACCATGCTCATCTTTAAGTTATACCCTGTTAGTGTAATGAGGCAGTGGCATAGCAACACAGCGATGCAACGTTTTTAAAGGGGGACACACTTTCTAAAAGTGGCATAACTGATCAAAGGAACCCCAATTTATTGTCATAAAATGACGTTTTAGAATACAAGCGTTCCCGCTTGTATAGGAAAATTTCCAGTAAAGCAAAACACAAATTGTGAGCAACTTACTGAGTGTCTAAACGGGTCAACGGTTTTGCTATTTCTTCGCCGCTAAGTTGTTACTTAGAATATGTTTTTCGTAGCAATTTTTCCCCCCTTCCTCACATTACGACGAAAAGAATGTAACACGAACTGGTGTACAGAAAAACGCTGTAGCGGCTTGGCTTCTGTGCTGAAATGTGCCTGTTGCAGTTGCACGGTTAAATTACATATTTTTCCAATTACTTCGTAACAATAAAACATATAGACAATATTAAAACTGGGCAACTGTGCCTAATGGCCATGTTAGTGCACAATTCGTCGTAATAAGAAGACAAGCAAAAGTACCGAAGTAACCATACGAACCATCTGCTGCAGCGGCTAAAAATAATGGCATTTTTCCCCGCTTAATTTGCTAATTATGCAAATGTGTACACATCTTAGCGTTTACACACACAGGCGCGACGAAGTTCCAAAATGTGTGCAACATCGTGATCATTGAGTGTATAAAAATGTATATCATGTAATCATGATTTTTTTTTTTCTTTTGATGAAGCACAGCGAACGTGTAAAAGGAGAAAAAAAAGAAAAAAAAAATTAATCACATAAGCTATGTTTTGTGATAAAAAAAAAAAAAAAACAAAAGAAAAAAAGACATGACAAGAAAAGCTTGAAAAAGACGTAACAATAAAAACGTGACAAACTGCTTTTAAACAGAAATGAATTTTACTCCAATTTGCAACTTTTTCTTCTATTATTTGCCCTGCTGAACCCTACACATGTGCGCACTACTTTAGCACTTGTTCACCTCGCGCATGGGCCCGGTTGCACTGAAATTGACACTCGATTACTTCCTTTTGCTGTATATCCTTTGACTTCTGCAGAGATAATCCCTTCAAAGCCTTAGAGCTTTCCGAATCCTTCCTTTTACAGCAAAGTACACAAACCTTATTTCTACATTCGGTATCATTTTCTGCACACTGTTTGTAGTCTTTATTTTCCTCCAACGAAACACATTTATTTAAAAATTTTTCAAACAGTGTCTGCATCTTAACAGCTAATTGGTCATTTTTTTTACAGTGCTTTTCGCATTGCTTTTTCTCATTACTATCTAGCATTTGTGTATGATATAAACAGCATTCTTCACAAAAATTTTTAATACAATTAATATGTTTCTCCTTCGTCTCATTTGGGAATATATCCGTTTGACATGAAGCCCTTCTATTTAATACGTGTACAGAATCTTCGCAAGTTCCCCATGCTTTGGATTTCGTTTGAATAAAATTTCCATCATTATTTGACATAGCAGATGAAAGAACAATCGAAGCAAATTTCACTTCACTAAAATTGTGTACCCAGAACCCAACTTGTCCTGAACGAATCATATCTACATCAGCAATATCTGTGTCCAGTTTTATTTCTTCTTCTTTATTATTTATGACGGCCGTGACCTTTGCTTTGTGGAAATGTAATTTTATATTAATCCACTCATTTGGGGTCAACACCTTTTTAATTCTTTCGCTATCGGTTAATTCGGCTAATGTTACTGACTTGTTATTTCTGTGATTCACTATCCTGACACCATCACTTGTCATCTCTAACGCATTGTAGTTTTGTTCGTTTACAAAATTGAATAGAATTTTTACGAATTCATCATTATCACTTTCGTTATTCTCATCATTGGAGAAATTCACATCCAGGGTAAAGTACCCATCAGAGCATTTTCTCTGTTTTAAAAGTGCTATGGTGTTATAGGTCTGTTCACTGGAATCGCCGCTGTCTCTTACCATTTTTGAGCATAACAGGTGCTCATTGTAGTTGCCGACAACGTGGTCATCATCTTGGTGGTCATCTTGGTCGCCCCCTCTTGTATAACTGCACTCATAATCCACATCATTAATAAAGCTATACGGCAACGTTTCGCTTAGGTAGTTTTCCTTGTAGTAGGGGCAGCTGGATATTTCCCTCTGCTTTTTGTTTGTCCCCCTTGTGGACAATTCTGAACATGGTCGAGCTATGACCTCTAAATTATCGAAGAAAGAACCCTGTCCATTAATTTGCGAATACAAACCGATAGTTCCAGAGAGAAATCTTTCATCTAGAGAACTCAGGATCTTAGTTTCATTTGAATTCTCATGAACCTCGTAAATATCAATATTCGCATGACTGGTCACAATTTTGTACTTATTCCACCTATTATTTGTATTAACTTCTGTTAAATTTTCATTCAAAATTTCCACGTTTCCATTTTCTACCTTAGACAATCTTTTCATACCTTCCCTATCACACACATCAAATAGGTAAAAATTAAAATCGTCCTTGGCTCTAAAGACAATACCTGAGCACCCAGTTCCCCTACTCAACATACTTACCTTTATTTCAAAGTCGTAATAATTTAGTCCTTTCAATGTAGCATAATATCCTTCCCCTATTTCTCTGTTTAAGATGCTGCTCGTTTGGCCAATACTATTTTTGTGTCCTGCTATATCCGTATCTGCATACCCCCAATTGCTTGACACATTCTTTGTTAATTTCGAATCAAAAGTTTGGAAGTGCGAAGAAAAATTCATAGTCTCATAATTCAATTTGAAAGTACCAAAGTTAAGAGCAACTTTCTGTTCTTTTTTTAATTCATCTAAACTTTCCTTCAACCTTTCCAAGTCGTACATGTATTTTCCTGACAAATCGTATAGGTATAAAGCTAAATTTTCTGTGATATTGTACAAATTGATAGCATCGTCAATTTGTTTCTTGGATAACAAATCAGCTGGTCTTAATTCCTTCTTAGACTTTTCTATCACCCTTACTGTCTCATCTTGGACGATGGAAATTACTGAGGGGTCAACTCCATGAATAGCATCAATGTTGCTTAATAGGTCCGTAATTAACTCGTGAAAAATGATACTATCTCTACTTTCATCTTCACTGTATGGAATATCCTTTCTCTCCTTCGTTGTGTCTCCCTTTTGAAGAAAGGACGTTTGCTTATATTGAAACAGATCCATAGGACACTCAGCGGATAAATTACCAATTCGTATTGTCCTGTGATGAAAAATGCTGCTCTCTTCCTTAATATCTTCTTCCCTATCTTTAGTGATTATATCTAATAACCCCCCTGCTGGGTCTTTATTTAAGGAAATAGATTCTACATTATTACTAATGGAACCTTCGTAGCGATCCATTCCAGATTCGATGGTAACATTGATTAGGCCTCCCTTATTGTCCACCACCCCAGCGTGTATCGCCGCTCTGCAAATGGAGCTATTATCTGCATATATTCCTCTACTTCCATACACCGCATTGTTTTTAAAATTTTCACTAGCACAACCTAAAGGACACAGTACAACCACATTAGTATTCAAGATTGAGTTGAAATAATCCTCAAGTGCCGTCGTTTCACAATTTATGCTCAAATATTGTAACGCAGAATCGTTCTCTGTCGAATTCGTAGAGCAAACTATGGCAGATATATCAGATGTTTCTAAATTAAAAAATTTGAAAGATCCATCATCGTATGATATTCCAGCAGTTTGTCTCACTTTTGTGCTATCCGGAGATTCAGATGCTTTTAAATAAATTAGCGTCGTTAAATCTATGTTGCCGTTTACCAAATCGTGAAACTTGCCGCTGCAGCTGCCATGATCACAAGAATAGTCATAAGCAAGAGGAATGTTGTTTTTCCCATTCAATGTGTATCCCATTTTCTTTAAACACAAAATTAAGCTATTTAATTGGCTTCTGGACCTTAGAATTAGAGGCTCTAACCCTACTTCAGCACAGTGTTGCCTTATATCTTCCACCGAATTTATAATATTGCTAATTACATGATCGCTAGGTTTAGGTGGATTACCATTCCATACGTACAGGGATGTACTAGACACCATGTCGCAATATACTCTCAACGGTTCAGGGGCACACTTTGGCTTTATCCAGTAAAATCCTGATTGCGGAATATCTTGAACATTCTTAATTACGGAACAATCACTAGCTGGGTAGGAAGACGAATCACCTGGAAGTATATCTAATCGTAGTAAATCGTTATCATGAATTGAATTTACTGACACTAGGGAGGACAGCTTTTCATTTAATTCATTTGCCTTCTCCTTGGACTCTTTCAATTCTTCATCATACTCTTTCTTTTCCTGTACGCACGTTTCAATATTAGGTAACAGTTCTTCCAGTTTTGATAAATTATCACTGATAGAGTTTACATTTTTCGACACATCATCTTCGAGGTTAATCAATTTGTTAGTTAAGTCTTGGTCAAATTCGGTTATATATTCAACAAAGTATTTATCTCTAGCGTCATCTGAATTAGCTGCATCTCTGCAATGGCCTATAATACTTTCTAAATTATTGGCCTGAACTTCTATGGACCTAATTCCATACAAAAATTGATCCCCCATTTCTCCATGCTTTGGATGAGGCTTCATCATTGATATCTTGATATACCTCGTTTCTACATTTTTCAATGTATCTATTGTTACAAAGCTAGGGTTCGCTAAATTCTCAGCAATGACTTTATATTCCTGGTTGTCTATACTGGCACTTATGCTATAATGCAAAGGGGGATATTCCCAAGACACTTTTACTCTGGATATTTCTACGTATTTGTTTAAATCTAGGATCAGATGAACCACGTGCTCGTAATTATCCGCAAATGTGGCCGAAGCCCAGTAACTATTCAAGTTCCCATCTATCGTGTTATCTGCATTATGATCATCATCCAAAGTCGAATTAGCATCAACCGTAACATCCATGTTGAGTAGAATATCATGAATTCCAGGAACATTTCCGTATATATGTTTCTGAGAAATACATAAAGGCTCACCACTTCTTTGCAATCGAATTTGTGAATTAGATTCAAATATCCAATTAGACTTTCCATCTCCATCTTCCAAAGCTCTTAAACAGTCGTATAAAACAATTTTATTCTTTTCTAAATTGTCCAAATTAATAACAGATAAACATTTGGGGGGATAACTAAAGGCACTAATTATTTGGTTGTTAGAATTTGTCTTCCATAATTCTCTGCCGTCCCCGCTTGCTAAGGCATTTATACATGAATCTAATATAACCGAAGTATTATCATTATTTACTAATCCTTCCTCTACTTGTAAACACATTTCATTATCACTTGTAATTCCTGATAGTAGCAGAAAGTATGGATTCCCTCCTCCTATGATCTTCACTTCTCTTATTCCGAAATATTTGTGAACAGCGTTTTTTAATCCAATTCTTACCGATGCTACTTCTTCTAATTTTTTAAAAAAGTAGATTTCATCAAAAGAAGCTTCATTTCCAGAAATTCTCCTATAAGGTATTACATTCTTATAATTTCCCCCATCACTAGACACAGATATGCTTACTAATTCTGGGCTGTATTCCCACGATATTTTCACTCCTTTTATGAACCCTTTTGTATTTAAATAACCAGTCCAGTTGATTTCTTCATCCTTTGTGTGATTCCCGGAACTGCACCAGTAACTGGGGTTGTTCTGTATAGCCCTTTTCGCATCATAAAGCGAACTTCCAGATTCCTCTGAAATGTACGTGGACGACGCGGAGGAGTCTACAAATTTATAAAAATTTGTAGCGGATTCTTGTCCTCTTGCAAAGCAGCTAAGGATGATGCACCAAAGCACGGGGATTAAATAATTCATTCTGATATCACTCAAAAGTTGAACCAAAAATTGTACTGATACGAGGACAAATTGTGTAAAGGGTTCACCTAAAAAGAAAAACAATGTAAAAGGAGTTACAAATAAAATGAAACAAAGACGTATATGAAACAGTCTTATCAAACGGTTTTTATCAAATAGTGGCGAGAACTCTCGAAATAGGCTCCCTTATCCGTGTATGATAAGATATAAGTTAATTTGCAAGTAACTGAAGAAGAAAATATAAGAAAAATAAATTCTACTGTGTAATGCAAATGACTTACAACTTTAACAAGGCTCTAATCAAATTGTGTGTCCAATGGTTGCCAGAACAAAGACGTGTGTGTGTCGTCAAAAATTAGGATGACTAAGAGGAAAAGAAAAAAAAAGTACAGTTAATACGGCAAATAATCACAACTGAATAGTATTTTTAAATATAATTTATGTCCACTTTGTCAAAAATTCCGAAACGTTTTTGTCTACACAGGTATATACATTTAACACATGTAATGCATAACTTCTTATTCTCTCGAGGAAAAAAACTGACTTACAGATAACTCCTTTCAGCAGCAGGAACAGAGCAAAGGGTCACAAAAACAAGTGGACAAACGAAAGGAATGAATCCTAAACAGTTAATTATATATTAATTCAAAATGTTTAAGATCACGCAACACAATTCGCTGATCTAAATGCTGCAAATTTTTTGACAACTTTTAATTTAACCATATCATTGATGATGGCGTATGTACAACATAAATTTGATTCTTTAAAAAATGTTTAATTTTTCCTGAATTCCGCATTTCATATTTTTTAATATGTACATTCTTGCTTATTTATTTAAGCGGAAATAATTCTTTTACATTTTAATAAAAGAACACGTTGCTGTGTTTTTTTTTTATGGACAGACAAATAACATACGCTTCGAACAAAATAACTTTGTTGCATATAACAAAAATGGAAAAAAGAAAAAATAAGAACATCACATTAGACGACACTGTCTGCATAATTCTTACACAATGTGAAATATAGTGAAATGAAATCGAATGCACACCAAGGATTAAGTACAAAACGCCAAGTTTGATCTAGTTCACTCTTTTAAAATAATATCGTTTTATCCCCCATGTGTAAGTACACCTTTAAAAGAACAAAATACAGTGGAAAAGTAATTAAAAAAAAATATATATATTCTTCCTGTACCAAAATAAGTTGAGCGTAACACCTTTATCCTTTTGTTAAAAAAAAAAAAATAAAAATTACGCAACATCCTTCTACACTATATATATAATTACATAAACCGACTTCCCTTTTTATTTGTCCCCAATTTTCCTGTTTCTGCCCCCAACAGGGGAATAAGACCTAAGCTGCAATTCGAATGTATCCCTTCGAAAGATACGTCATTCATGTTCAATATATATGCCTTTATTACAGAAAAATTAATAGCAAAACGGGGAAAAAAAGAAGAGAGAAATGAATGATCACGGAGCTCTTGGTCTTGTGGGTTACTTTAAAATAGTTTTCCTTTTTGCATAAAACTTTAAAATGTGCGGAGTAGGAGTTTTCATTTTGTAGCTTCGCTCGCACTTCATACAATTTATAGAAAAATGGATTTTACCCGAATGCTCCATTTGAGCATCACGTGAGGATGAAGTTAAAGTCCCGATGTGTTATATTAGGAACATATTCTTAAAGGTTTATTTGTATACACGTACACAATTCGACGAAAATTTAGCTGTTTACATTTGCCCGTACAACCATGCGTTTTGCTCCAAAAAAATCAGAATTAATTTGCAACATGCGCAAGTTAGCCACCACATCGAAGGTATATATACCTCTGATGTTGCATAGGGAAAAAAAAAAAAAAAATGTAATTGACCTATATAATGACATTTTTCAAAAGTGTGAAATTTTTAAAAAATGTGAAAAAATAAAATCAGGGCGAAAAAAAGATTCATACACATAAAATAACTTTAACGCGAAAGGGTGAGCGTTTTTTTTTTTTAAAAACATTTAAAACAAAAATAGTTGTAAAAAGGGTCTGCAATTTTGAAATAGCCTTATACCAAGAACATGTAATAAAATAAACCTGTGAACAACATGTTTACGTTTCTGTTTTATACGTTCTCCTATTTTTATGTTACAATATACAACCCCTGCGAAATGGTGGACAGCTCAATTGTGCTTGATGATACCATAAGCATTTTTTGTAAAGGACTCGAATAGAAAAATGAACACATGCTTATAAAGGCGTTATATTATATTTTATTTTTTTACCTAGTAAAGGAAAAGGAAATAGAACAAAATTGCAACGGAAAATGCGAATTAGTGCAAAAAATGTCCAACAAGTTCAGTCTTCCGTTGCATGCACCTGAGTGATATTAAAAGCAGCGGCCTATGAACGCGTGAAAAATGTTCTGTTACCTCAAAAGGGCTCTTCGAAGGTTTAAAAACACAAAAAGTTAAATAAAACATAAAAATGAAAGAATGAAACGCAAAATAGAGCAACACATAGCAAAACAAAACAGTATAATGCGCCATCAGTTTTTACCCCCACAGAAGGACAACTCAGAAATAATTTCTGTGGATAGAACAAAAAAGGACAAAATGTTCCATGGGCTTATTTTTTTCTTAATAATGCCGTAAAAAGTGAAATAAATTTTTTATTATAATGAAATTGTTTCTGCTAATTTTTTAAGCCTGTGCACATGTATACATGTATACATGTATGCACATGTACATTTATTCGCCCACTTATGAACCCTAATTTACCCCTCTCAAGGCATCCGTTTCACAGAAAATGTGCACCACTTTAATTTGCACAACTTTTTGGATGGGAATATTTTTATTGCCTTGAAATATATCCACACATATTTTTTCTGGCGCACCATCTCGTTTTCAGCTTAGACATGCAGTAAAAAGGGAAAAAAAGAAAGAAATGAAGAAAGAACCGCTTGCACAGCTTTTCTGCAATATACCCCTACCGTGAGAAAAAACATAAGCTCTTATAATGTGAGCTTATTCTCAGTTGGTTAAATATATTACCTATGTAAAGGTGTACATGTGCAGATCTATGTATAACCGTGTGTAGATTTATGCACATACCAGTGCAACTAAAAAAAAATGCAAAGAATTAAATATTAAAGAAAAAATGAAATATGAAAAACAGGGTCACATTTTGAACCTCTTCTTTTTTACCATATGGCTGGTACTTTTCTTAAAATATATAAGTGCTAGTATACGCATTTCAGATATTACTTACACCAGTGAGAAGGGCGTCCTTAATGCGGAACAGTTTGAAACTGAATATATATCCATTTTGAAGTTGGAAAATGATGGCAAAACAACACCCAAGTTTGAAATTAGTGATCGTTACCTAATTTCTGAGGACAAGACAACCCAAAATTGTTATGCACCGAATGATGATCATGGAAAAGTGCTCATAAAAAAAAATGACAAAAACAACTTTTTATTTGTGCAAAAGCAGAATGCAAAAATCTTCATTAAGGATCGAAGTTTTAAGTGGTAACACCAACATGTACACAGCCCTCGCGTGGTTCATAAGCACACGAAACTGTGTCTCATAACGCTTGTGATTCCTTGCACCATACTTCTCCACAATAAATACATACTTTTTAATGCCGCTTTTTTTTTTTTTTTTTTTTTTTTGTTACAGCTCACTTGTGTCCTCTGTTGAGAAAAAAGATCCACCATATCAAATAATTCAAGAAAACTATGAGCAGATAAATGTAGGAGAGCTAGCCAATTGCGACGATAATAATATCAAAAAATTCGTAGATTATTTTAACCTCTTAGAGGTCTTTTTCATTTCAGAAAATGAAAAATGTGAAACTGTTTTAAAAACACCATTAACGAAAAATGTTCAAGTAGTAAAATGCGCAGGCTACATTGGACATATAACCAACTTTCCTGAGTTAAAGCATAGCACCTATTACATCTGCTTCAAAACGAATGATTCAACTTTACTAATTAGTACCTTTATGGCAGATAAGACAATTGCTAATAATACATCTTACTGCACTTTCGATAATCCACTCTGCCTCATAACCATTAGTGTCAGCCTTTTTAATAATGTAGAACATATAACGGATAATGCCTTGGTACTTAAACCAGACTGCGCAGTTATAAGCAACCCTATTTACAAAGATTATCACATTATTAGTGAGGATCATTATATCTTCTCTTTTAAAAATGATGAAAAGGCATACTATCTCGATATATGCATACTGAAGGATATGATATATGAAAAAGTGGGTAACCTATTTTTTATAGAGACATATATACCCATTATATGTTTTATAGGCTCAGAATGCGTTATAAAAGTATACACCGATATGGAAAAAATAAAATACATTATGAATAATGTAGAAAGCACGACTTTTTCATGGTCCAAAACCATCTGCAACAATAGGACCGTGGAAAAGGATGATATAACCACCTACCTAAAAGAAGAAGACGGATATTTATATATAATTAGTGAAAAACTTCTAATTCAAGAAAACAATCTGTGTACAAAGAACAATAACAAATTACGTCACCTACTATCTATACAGTTGGTTGAAAATCCTCAATACACCATGTACTATTCGCTCATTAACTCTGTAATTAAGAACAACACTTGGCAAAATATTAAATATCATAACTACTCGGGGCCATACGTTAAATACGAATGCTCTCATGAAGAAATAGTCATAAATGAATATGAAATTTGGAAAAGCAATTATGATAATGAGTTTTTACACAAAAATCAGGAATTAAATTTTAACATCGATTTTAATGCCCTTACTATGAGGTTATGTGTAAAGCAAATTAATTATATTGATATCGGCTCTGTCAGAATTGAGCAGTTATTTGGCTTTAAGGTTAATAACCTAGATCCTTTACAAGTTAGCGCCATTGTATCATTATATAATGAAGACATAAACACCAGGCTTCTAAAGTTCGCCATAAAGGACGATGAAGACTGTAATTCGAGTAAGGGCTTTTTTATATATTCCAAGGGTAATTATCCTAAGGAAATCTTTCACAATAATATTATTGTAGACGCAAGAGCAGAGTACGAAGTGGAACAGGAAATCATTTTAGATAAACCCAGGTACTACTTATGCATGTGTTCTCTTGCAGAAAAGTGTAACGAAAGTCACGGCTTAAGTATCTACGATTTGTATACAAACATTTATATAAACAATGAAATAATACCGCCAGAAAAAAAAAAATATGTTTGCAAGCTATTTTCCCCTTGTAACTTTACTGTCAAATTCGAGTCGGACAATATTTCAAACCAATGGGCAGCAAAAGTCGGAAGTTCATGTAGAACGTACGTATTCGCAGATATAAAAATTAAGTCGCAAAAAAATGATAAGTTAAGTAACGACGCTTCGAACATAATCGCTGTTGACTTTAGTATATTCTACAATATGAGTCAGATGAACAGGAACATACTAAATAAAGACTTGGTTATCTGTGGAAATTACAAAGATCAAAAATTTACCTTTTCCATAGAAGCAGATTTCTTCTTTACCTATATCAGTAGTCCGTACCACAGATTCGAAATAAAAAATATAGAATATGAAAACCTGTGCAGGGACAAAAAAACTCTGAACATATATTCCTACCAAAATGGGGAGACAAATCTGTATAAAAAAACTGACATTGACATAAATAACAATTCCAGTGAAATTGAAATAAATATAGAATATGATCATTTAAGTTATTATAAAATATTTTTTATAAAAGAATGTCATTATTGTAAAGGGGTTCTCACCTACACACACGACGGAAGTATCTACAGTTTGGACAACCCCGTTAGGAACACAGAGAAATATTGGGAACCAAAAATAGGTAAGAATAATGCTACCAAAAAGGATCCTAAGAAATCTACACATCTATATAACTGCGCATACGAAACAATGCAGAATCACACACTTACCAGTTTACTCCTGTTTGATGGACCTCATGAAGAAATTAATTTCTACTGCTATAGAGGCACTAACTGTTCGCACAAAGCAAAATTCACTTTGCTATGGTATCACTACACTATATATGCTGAAATTACAGAAACAGAAAGAATCATGATATCCTATAGAGAAATTAAAGGCAAAAAAACTACTGCATCACAGATACTATCGGGCATAAGGAACTCTGATCTTTACCTTACAATCTCAAAGCATATCATAGATAAAATTAATCCAGGGCCTTATAAAATAATTTACTCCAGAAAGATTGGGGAATCCTTCAACGAAAATTATATTGGCACACTTCATTACGTAGGTGCATCAAGACAACTTTTTCAAATTACCGCTACGAACGCAACAGAAATTACGCTTCATGGTTATTTTAAGAATATTAACCAAGAACAAATTACTGTAATCAAATATTCAACCTGTGACTTTTACACTGTCATGCGCGATAATTATGGAAGATTAAGAGACTTAAAAAAAATATATGATAATATCCAAGATGAAATTTTTAGTAATGTTCAGGATTGTACAATATCTAGTGAAGATAAGTTGACATGCACAAACATGAAACCGATAGGGAAAAAATATGCCTTATGTTGGTGTTATGGAAATAGAGGAAATTACTGTAATCGTCTCGAAAATATGCAATTCTTGATAACAGAAGTTGTTTCTTTGGATCATTCCATTAAGCCAATAGTGCAAATAAACAAGCCACCAAGTGCTGTCTTTATGAATTATAACACTGAGGGGTATTTTTTTTTAGTAGAAGATGATTGTCATGACATCAAACATTTTCATTTAAAATCACACTTAAATAAAGAAGAACACATTTTGAATCTCTACAAAGAATTGGAATCCCCCAAAAAATATAATCTATGCGTATGCAAAGTAACACAAAACATTGCCTGTGACAGAGAAAACCACTTCAAGCCTCTGGAATTGGAATTTGATCACACACTGTATGACAAAGAAAAATTAAAACAACATTTGCAACATTTTAATACTGGATTCACGGCAGTAAAAGATTTCACTTTCAGCTCAGAGTTTAAGGAATTATTACATAAAGGTGTAATACAGGCTATGGTTTTCCTTCCAGGCTTCACGGCATACAAGGAATACGTTTGTCTTTCAGGAGTGCCATGTAATGCACCTATAAAAATGCAAACTGTGTTCAGTTCTGAAATAAAACATTTTTTACATATAAGGGAATTGAAAAATATAAAACAAATTCCTAAAAAACAAAGCAGTGCCAAGAAAAAACAAAATAAAGAAGGTCAAAAAGAAAAAAAAAAAGAACAAAAAGTATATGAAGAGGACGAACAGGATGAAAAGGAAGAAGATGATGAAGAGGAAGAAAAAGAAGAGGAACAAGAACAAGAAGAAAAAGAAAAAAAAGAAGAAGAACAACAAGGAGAACAAAAACAAAAGGAAAAAATGAAAGAACACCAAGAAGAACAACAAGAAGAGGATCCTCTAATGTATTCCTCATATTTGAGAGCTCACGTTGACGCCACAGAAACAAAAGTGGACACAATTTATTTCACATTAAATGAAACAAAGGAATGTAAAAATGAGCATAACCAAATTTATAAAGAAGCAAAAGGAAAAATCATTCGCACTCAAGAAATCGATTTAACATTACAGCAAATTTTAGATGTTTCGTTTAATTTGGACATAGATTTTGTACCTCCAGAAGTGAACAAACCGTATGAAATATGTGCATTCCTGAGGCCCACTGACAAGTATTACTACAGTATTGGAAATGTTACCTTCTACGGACTGTTTAATGAAAGTAAAGTTGTCGAAATAATTTCTGGGGTTCCATTCAATTTGGAATTGAAACAGTTTAACTCAATATATAATGTACGAATCCGTTTTGTTTACGAACATTATGGAGATTCTGATGTATGCAAAAATAACTATGGGAACAATGAAAAGTTTTTTTATTCAGACTCAGTTCAACAACTATTAACTCCTGATGTAAAAGAAGAAATAGGAGATAAGGTTACGCTCTACGTGTGGAAAGATTTGTTAACAATTTTAGATTCCGACAACTATAGCATCATGACTGCACATAGACGTGATGATGGATCCCACATATTACACGTGTGCTCTTGTTACGAACTAGTAGAAGGACACTGTGATAATGATTATTATTATGTTGCAAATTTTATGAAAATTAAAGTACACGCAGCTGTGTTGATAGAACCCAAAATGAATTCCATGATACACTTTATGAAACCATTTACCCTTAAATTAAAAACGTCCAAAGTGCTAAATGGATCAATTAGAATTTTCCCAATTGATATAATGAAAGAATTAAGTAAATTGTGTCTAGAAATAAATCAGAGGGAATATTTTTTAACATTTCCTGCAAAGGTAGAAGAATATGAGCAAACTTATAATGTACTTATTAATTTCCCCTCACAAGGAGTTGTCGCATGTTGGTGCTCAAAGGAAAAATGTGAAGACGCTGACTATTTAAACAAGGTTGCATTCTTTAAATTGTCCAGTCCGAGCCTTTTAGAAGTTCACACAGATATGGATGGGTACTTTTCCTTTTCCTTCTTAAATGAGTGGGTCCACATAAATGACAGAATCCGGTTCGTTGCGGGAAATTTACCATGCACGGACGACACAAGTGCAAGCTTATTTGATGACACCATCCACATAAATAACAAGAAATATCACATCAACTGGGACCAGAGTATAGAGATCTATGGGAAACCAAGAAAAATCGTGAAAGAAATAAATGATAACTTCACATGGATTTCTAAAATTTACAAAATAACCAATATTCTAGCGAAGTACATCAAAATATGCTACTGCTTTTATTATTATAGCCAAAATTGCAAAGACCGAAAAAATTACACACATATCGGCTTTGTTCATAACCATACGTTAACGAAAGGTGTTACAAATAAGAAAGATCAAATTGATCAGACAATGAATATGTATGTACTGAACAGAAATTCCATCAAATTCGTCCCCATGAATTCATACAACGATAATAATAGAGATATTTGCAATACTAGCAGAAACCAAAGTAACAGAATTATCCCTATTTTCAAAAATACAGCCTTCAACTACGTTAATTTCAAACTCAGAATATTGAATATTTTTAAAAAGCACTACAAAAATGAAATAAACTTCGTTGTATGCTACAGTTCCTACTATTACGGGTATAAGAACACCTACCTGTTAAGAAAAGTAGAATATAGTGAACTGTCCAGAGCGTCAAATCCTATCACTCATAATTACATTCTTGAACAAGCAGGAATTACATCCGACTTGAACCAAAATCTGGGACCCAGAAAAGAACATAGTGAAAAAATTGGAAATCTACTCAAATCATACTCAAAAATCAAACCGAGGAGGACCTTTTTTTACAACTATTTTATGGAAGAAGCGCTCTTCAAACATAGCGATGCGTTACCCTCAGGATTTAGTAGTGATATCATGGGCTATAAGACAGACGATGAAAGCGGCGAGGACGATGAGGATGATGAAAATGTTAAAGAAAATGATGATGAAATAAACAGGCTTATGGACGAAGAGATGAAGAAGAAGAAAAGAGAGAAGGAAAAAGCGAAGAAGGAAAAGGCGGAGAAGGAAAAAGCGGAGAGAGATGGACAGGCTACAGGTATCAAGGATAACGTTGCCAAAGGTAAAGGTGGCAAGGGTAAAGGTGTCAAGTATAAAGATGGCAAAAATAAACTGGGCAAGCAGAACCAGGACTACAATGATGATGACGAAGAATACGACGAATTTAAAGGGTACACAAAGAACCAGAATATGGAAGGGGCAGGGAACGAGGACCAAAATGACAACAATGAGGGCCAAGGAGGAAAGCACATTTTTATCTATATAACTAAAGCTATAAGGAAAAAAATTAAAATTGCCATATCCAAGTTTTATGAAGGCATAAAGGTGGACTCTAAGGAAATTATGTACTACAAAAGAAAAGGCGGGGCAACAGTTAACTACATTCTAGATAACATAGTTTTAAAAAATGATTTATCAATCATTGTATGTTGTTATGAAGGAGATTATCTCGAGTCAGCTCCTATCTTGCAAGAAAATTATTATGATATCCATAAATCCCCTAAGGTGTATTTACTATATAAAGCATTAAAAGTATATTTTGGTAATATAGACGAAAACATCACAGGGAATAATGCAATCCTGGAACAACTGGGTAATACGTATGATGGATATCACATGTACAATTATTTAAGGATAGAAAATTTGAACGAAAAAGGATTCTATAAGAATCAAACCGCAATGCAGTTAAAAAACACCACATTTGAATTAAAAGTACATGGAAAAAACATCCCCCCTCACGAGTACACACTATATATTGTCGAATTTGACAACAACTGTTACAGACTGGATAAAAACGGATACCATATAGAAAATAAAGAGTACGTTATACACAGCAATTATATCATTTTTAAAAATGTCATTATTAATAAAAGGAATACTTACAAGATCTGCATACTAGATAAGACACAAGACACGTACAACGATGTAGGAATTTTAAACATTAACAATTATTATGTAAAACTTGAATCATCTTTTGATGACAATTTCATTTCTTCTAATCTTAAAAAAATGAATATTATACTAAACGTGTGTGTGAATAACAAATCTTATGATGCCTACGTTATAAAAAGAAATGGGAGTTTTAAAATCACCCTTGATATGCAAAAAATAGCATTTTCCGAAAAAAGTCAACATCTGGAGGATTTTTTCCCAGAAATACTAAACCATCAGTTAATATCTTGCAAGAGTAAGGAGCACGGAACTATCATTTTGACAAAGACGCATCTATTCTTTTACGCACTTTTAACAAAACTTTCCTTCTCCACCAACCACAATTTACCATTCCCAGTTGACGTAGATTTTGACGAACGATACATATACGTAACCGATTTAAATATGAGAAAAATTGCGCGCTTTCAAATTCTCTCTGATGGCAATTCTATTAATATTATCAACAAAGGGAAACGGAAAAGAAGCATTCAAGACCAAGATTTAAGTAACTACATAAGAAACACCCCCATGGATCGACAAGGAACAACTAGTAAGAAAATCACACTTTATTACCCAAAGGAGGGTCGCAATTTCTACTCCACAGATTTGGCGCATGATGATCTCCATGGTGCTGTTTACCCTGATGATGCAAACAATTTCAAAGCAACATTATTAACGAATAAAAAGACACCTATAAATGATTCCACGGTGATAACAAAAAGGACTAAACGAAGCGATGATTCCTATACCGAGAAAGATCAACAAAATTTATTACATTTTCGTACCTTAGGAAGGGATATGCGGAGCGAAAAAGAAAAGACTGCTCCCCTCCGAAGTGCGGAAGACAGCACTCTCCACAATAACTCACGCGGGGGACAGATGAAATTAGATGACAATCCCGTTTTCGACGCTTCGAAAAAATCCCCCCAATCGGTAGCAAATAAAGAACAAAATACACTCGTCAAAAATTTAAGTGATTTGTACAGTTATCTACAAACAATGGTAAACAAAAACAGATGGACCAACTACTTCTATGGACTACTCGGCACAGAAAAAATATCAAAAAAGAGAAACTTCATGTACAACTTTCTCGATTTTTTCAAAAATGGGAAGGAGAAAAATCGTTCTAGCGGAAATAAAAAACAAATGCACCATAACATAGTACCTTCCAGCTTGCCCGCAAGAGGAAAGGAACAGGTTAGTCGACCAGGTACACGCAGCACCTGTGCTAGACCGCGCAAAACCTCGTCTAAATCGAGCAGCACCCTTAGTAGAAAAAGAAGAGATGCTACTGAACCTGTGGACCATTTAGTTTACGACGAAGCGATCGAAAAGAACATTAAAAAGCTAATAACCGTGGTGAAAACTAACAATTATTTAACAAACAGAATGGATCATCTGGATCTGAAAGGAAATCTAAATCCGTTATTCATTAGCATACAAGATGATATACTGTACATATTGGATTCTACAAAAAATAATTTTTTCAGCTACAATTTGAAAAATAAAAAAATTATACAACTGGAACAATATAGCGCTGGAGACCATAAGTTCATTTTAAAGAACCCATTAAATTTTTCCATATATCGTGGGGAGCAAACTGGACACACACTACATAGAACCAATGTAGCATTCGTAACACAAATACGAAGTAACGAAGTTAAAATTATCGATTTGAGTAAAAATAAATATAGAATAGTCAAGGCAATAAGGTTGGAGAGAGGCTACAGACATAATGGAGTCATTAAAGTCATAGCAATTGATCAGAACTTACTAATAATTACATCTCATATGAACGCAGAGAATATCATTTATCATTATCATTTCAATTCATTTGATCAATACTTTAGTATTTCCTTCGAATACACTTTTGCAAAAAATTATAACTCAAATGATGATTTAAATATTGCACCAGAAATAGACATATACAGCGATTCAATTATCTTCTTCTGCTTTCTAAACTATAACGATCAATGCACAAACGTGGATCCATTGACACAATTAGAAATCTCAACTGAAACAGGAGTAATAACTGGAAAATTAAAGCACTTTGGATATTTCCAATTAAAAATTTTTGCTAAAACGCATTTTCAGCATCAAGTTAAGTTATATAAAGATTTATATTCATACTGTGACGTAGGGAAACAATTTAACTACACAAACCAAACGTGCGAGAGTTGTCCTATTGGAACCTTCTGGGATAGCGTTGAATTAAAATGTGAGAGGTGCAAAAAACATTTCAAAAACACGTCTACCTTGAAAAGTGGATCTAAATTAATAACAGATTGTCTTTGCTCACCTGGCTATGAATATTCAGAAAAAACTGCCAGCTGTGAACAGTGTAAACCTGGTTATTATAAAAAATCGACTGGTAATTTTATATGTGTTAAGGGATGCCCCATTAACAGAAAGAGTATTATTTATGGAGCCAAGAGTTACAACGAAATGAATTGTAAATGTAGTGAAGGCTATTACGAACTTAATGGAAAATGTGTTTTATGTCTCAAAAATTACTACTGCCCTGGACACGGTCAACAGATAGCATGTCCCAAAAACAAAATGTCCCCAGAAGGAGTCACATCCGCAGATGAGTGTGTATGTAAGGAAAATTTTATCTACAATGAGAATAATCAATCGTGCACTTACTGCACTTCTGTTGGAAAGGTAAAAGACCAAGTTATCTACTGCTCCCTGTGCGATCCGAAATATTTGGACACGAATATTTTTGCAATCCCGAATGAGCACAACTACGGTTTGGTGGACAACATGTACAATTATGATGAGGATCTGCTCCTACAGGATAAAATACTGCAGTATGGCTATTTTGATAGTAATAGACGTAAGCATGGCCCTGAAAATGGCCGCGAAAAGGACCACGCCAACTTTGCAACTCTTAACATTAACAGCGAACTGGTTGTAGGGAAAAATAAGGAGCAGCCCAACAGAAAAACTTTTGCAATTGAAGTAGACATGCCAAAACCGACCAAGTGCGTATTCTGCGAAAGTGGGTACTTTATGGATATCAAAAAGGAAAGGTGTATACCGTGTACTAACAAGTACTGCGAAGGGTTCGCTAAAAATCAAAAAGGATGCCCCATCAACTCCATTGTGAACAGGATAAAGGCCTCCTCCATTTTTGACTGCAAATGCAAAATTGGATATGGTTCCATAAATGAAAGAAGAAGCGCATTTAACAAAAAACTCAGTTGTAAATTATGCCCACAGAATTTCTTTAACCATAACTTGTCAGAGCAGTACTGTCTTCCCTGCCCACAGAACACCTACACAGCATCAGAGGGATCCACATCCATCCTCAACTGCCTACCTGTGGAGGGCTACTTCCTTCTCATGTTCAAAGGCATAGGCATAGAATACATGAGGTATAAATTCGACATCAACTCGGAAAATAGAATTTACAGCTATTTCCAGGATAGCGTTAAAAGCTTCGACGAAGACGTGTATGAACTGTTTTTGGATCACAAATTTGAGCAGCTATTCAAGGACGGGGATAACAACCAGGACAAGAGGGGGCAGAAAAATAACGAACCGGTGTTGCCGCCACACGCACAAAACAACGCTCAAAACGCGCAAGATAACAAGTACAACGTCAGACACTTGAAAAATCTTGGGTTCCTAAAACGGACGTCCCTCTTTTACATATACACAGTACTGCTGAAATATATTGAAGAAAATTACGACTGGAAATCTGATAAGATGCTGAAGGTCACATGCCACGTGAACCTGCACCTCAAAGGTAGCCCCAACTTTACTGTATCATATAAACCCAATTTACAGTCCTGCGTAGATAGCTGTAAAACGAATATCTACTGCACAGGGGTGGAATTCTCAAGGAAAAACGTAGAGTACACACAAATATTTTTAAAAAATAATCAAAAAATAATTGTTGGATATTTTAAATGTAAGCATTATTCTTTCGAAAGTATATATGATTATACTTCCTCCGATGTGGACAATTTTCTGGACAAGAATATCGAAAATGCGGTCGTGTCAAAAACTCCTTTACATTATACAGACTTTATATTAACAAATAGAAATAACATCATTTTTACCTGCTCTATCGATAGAGATAGAAAATTTTTACTATATAAGCAATATCAAGTGGTTGCATGTTTTATGGGGAAATTCTGTCCAGGCAATCACACTCCTTACTTGATATCCTGCCCAAATAACTCAAAAACCGTAGTTACTCTGGCAAGAAATGTGGACAAATGCCTATGCCTCCAAGGCTATTCCTATGTCGGTATTGCGACGCTTAGGTGTGCGGTATGCGATAGAGGAACGTACAAAAATTACGTAGGAAACTTCAAGTGCGAAAATTGCCCCCTAACCTTTTCAACAGTAAATATAGGATCCACCAGCATTAACGATTGTTCTTGTACTCCAGGAAATTATCTCACCTTTGACACGTTGCAAAATTTTATCAATTCGGAAAAAATTAACTACAAAAATATTGTTGATCAATATTTTATTGTTCCAAAAAAGAAACAAACTGACGTATATTACAGAACAGAAATAATGAAAATCAGCTTGAATAACTTAAGCAGGATAGAAGTTAATGAAGGAACCAATCAAATGTTACAGCGTGAGATAGCTGTATGTAGGCCATGCTCTCTCGATAATCACTACTGCGAAGGAGGAATCGAATCGGAAATCACATTTAACAACAAACGTTTTCAAGGCCAATTTCACACATTGCCAAAAAAATGCCCCAAAGATTTAGTCATTCCAAAAGGCATCATACAGAGAAGCTCAATAAATAACTGCATATGTATTCATGGAAAATTTTTAAGAACATCAAAAGATAAAAAAGTAGAATGCATCCCATGTCCTCCAAATACATTCAAGGAAAACGAATATGATAACAGCTGCTCTGGGGTTTGTCCACACTTCTCCACAACGTTTGTAGGTTCGTCATACGAAAACCAATGTTTCTGTAAAAACAATTATTACTTGGTTACCACAGAAGATGAAAATGAAGGTGAGAATAGTGCTAACCCCTCCAAAAGTATCGGACTCGCCAATAGTGGGAAAGGCACCAAAAGTTGCAAACCATGCCCCAAAGGAGCCGTATGTAACAGAGGCTTCAATATTGACCTCTTTCTCCATCTGTTAAAAAACAGGGAATATAACAATATAAACATTTTAGACCATGAAAATCCATATCCACTATACGGGAATTATGCAGTCTATAAAGAAAAACATCCAATCAATGATTGGAACCCCCTACAGGATAATGACGAGTTAAAATATTCCTACCCTTATTACAACTTACTGTTGTTTATTCAAAAAAATATGGAAAGCAGGAATTATTTCTTTTTCAAAAAAAGCCAAGATCTGTACCTAAATATGGAATTCATAGAAGCCTTAAAAAAAAAAAAGGAGAATAAGAAGGCAGCAGACGAGGCCAAAGCGGGAGAAGAACATAATTTTCTACTCCACCAGACAAATGTGATCTCGTTTTTAAACTACAACCAGATGGATAGAAAAAGTGTAAAAAATTCAAACGATGTAATCGCAAACAATCATAACAGTGCCATTTCTACTTATTTAAAAAAAATTGTGCCCAATACCCTACTAGCTAAACCTGAACCAAGACCAACCCCTCCCCTTCTACAAAGTAACGAAATGAAATACTCCTTGGAAGAAATGTTCAATAAACACATAGAAGAGGCAAAGGAATTGAGAATAAAAAACAAAAAATTTGAAAGATTACCAGACATTCATGTTTGTACTATACCTGATAGGTGTCTAGGAACAATAACCAACATGTGCCAGGAAGGGTCCACAGGATACCAATGCAATAATTGTCAAAAGGGCTATGACATGAGTCATTTCAAGTCCAAGTGTCACAGATGTAAAAATTTCTTCAACGAAATATTACTTATGATATTATTAAAAATGATATATTATGTAATCATTATTCTTATCGTTTCACTCAACTATAATAGTTGTTTCAACAAATTGTACATAAGTGGTATTCTGATGAAAATTTGGTTTAATGGCTCCTTTACCCTTGTGGCATATGGATTTTTTTCACCCTCATCCAATTTATTTATTACCAAATATTGGCATATTTACAAAAGCGTGTTTCTCTCCCATTTGAAAATGTTTTCGTATTACTTGAGGGTTGGCTGTTTTCTTCACTCGTACAATACAAATGTGCACTACAACGAAATCTGGTACATACAAAAGTACGTGAATATCTTTACACCCCTATTCGATGCTATTTCTATAACGCTCATCATGTTCCTTATCGTTCATGTGTATAAATTCATCTGCAAAAAGAAAATACAAAATTTTGAGTACATCTTGTCAACCATTCCTGAGCTGAAGGTGAAATATGACTTGGAATGCCTAACGAATGACCCGCACGGAAAAGCATTTGCCAAAAAGGGAAAGAAATCAAAAATTTACGTGTCTAACAAAGCTAAGGAGGACGACCAGGATTCGTGCAACCAGTCGACGGTAACGCACGACTTGGAAAAAAATGGTGTAAGTGATAAGGAAAATGTAGGGGATCCAAATGACGTATCCACACTGATTGATAAAAACGCTTCAAATGTTGCTAATCTGATGAACAAAAAACATGCCCAAGTATTTTCTGAAGATGATGTCCTTCACAATGCAGATGGGGAAAATTTAACTGGGGAATGCACAAAGTACGAATTAAAATACCTAAACAGGGACGACAAAATGTACGACATTTTCCTAAACGAAACGGTTGAGTATATTTATAATAAGAAGATTTTCGGACCTTGGCGATTTATGCATAAAAGAAATGAAATGTTAGGAAGGAGACTCCTCACATTTTTACAGGACACCTTCCCCTGTTACATTTTGCTTATCGCCCTATCATCACCCTACGTACTTATGGAAGTGATTCAACTCGCATTCTGCAAACCGATAAAATACAAGTCCCAACAATCAGAACTATACTTATCCTATTTGACCACGCAAAAGTGCACACTTTCTGATAATTCCTTCTTTACAGGAATTTTGGTAGTTATCCTGGCCTTATTCTTCTATGTTGGCATTTTCACACTATTGATAACCCTATATTCGAAGCGCAACAAATATAAATTGTTTGACATTTTATTGTCCAATTTATTAGCAGGGTATAAACAAGGCATGGAAATCTTCGAATTTATATTTATCCTCAAAAATATCATTTTGGTTTTACTAATAACCTTCAGTATACACTACGAATTTTATTACGTCATCCTTGTCACAGTCATATTAACGACTTTCTCCATTCTGGAAATTTATTCCAACCCCTTTGATGGAAGATCCTTCAACATCCTCAACATATCTTTATGCATTGGGAGTGTCTTAAACATTTTCGTTGCCCTAACCATTTGGGGCAGTTTCTACTGGAACTATGAGAAGTTTTTCTTCATCCCCATTCTCATTATCCTCTTTTACCACCTGTATATGCTCCACAAAGTGATTCGAGAAATTATCCTATCTAGACATTTTATACACACAGAAAATCTTATAAGTATAAAAACAGCTGTGTATGGGGAAAATAACATTAAGCATAATAATTATAAACTGTACTACAAAGTTATGAATAAAATAAAATTTTTCCTAAATAAAAATCAAAAGAAAAATATATCCAAGCAGACTACAAATAATGATGGACCAAATAAAATGAACAAAATGTCAACGGAAAATATAAAATTTGAACCCATAGAAAATATCATAAAAAGGTATAATGTCAACTTAAATAACGATATATCCAAAGCACACACTGTAAACCATAATGAGGAAGTGGAAAAAAACAAAAAGGAAATCTTCTGCATAAGGAAAAACCACCTACCCGTAAACATCCACAACGTAGCCCTCATATGGTATGACGAACAAAATGAAGATTTACTATTTCAAATGCCTTTTGAAAACAAATTTTGCCTAGACTTAAATGGGGATAAAGCTAAAAATAAAAACAAAAAAATATTTTCCTTCTTTCCAAATTATGCAAGAGATAAACGAAGAAAAAAAAATATTAAATATTTTGTATCAGCCATAATAGAAATTATCGACAAGTTCTTGTGTGCATCTAAGATAGGTTCGATCTACGAAAATTGGTTCGACTTTTCTATGAGGTTTGCATTTGTCTACATATCATGGATTAAAAAAATTAATAAAACCAATGTTGTTCTTCCACAAAATATGGATCAGTTAAAAATGAACATAGACCAGTATGTGTTCATTCCTCTATTCTATAAATGTGAACTCATCAATCAGGCAAGAAGAAAGTTCAGCGTCTCTGCGAGCACCCCCGGGGACCAACTTGTAAACAGTGCGCCTATTGAAGCATTGGAAAAGAAACATAGCTTTGAAAACACAGAAATAAAAATTAGTCGCAGCTATGGATCGTACAACCATATGGGAAGCCTGAAAAATAGGAACCATGCGCATGAGAAAAATAACCATGTCATGAATGACAACTACTCGGATGATGCGTCATCTGATAAGGATGCATCCTCAAAGGCAAAAAATGAAACCAGGAAAAGCAGTGAGGAGCAAGCACAAATGGGCGTTCTAAGCTACCTAAAGAAAAAAGAAAGAAAAAAAAAAAAGACCCAAGCAAAACTAAAAAAAAAATCGATAAAAATGGATAACCCGGATATACCCAACCACATCAACCAAAAAGATCATTCATACAAATTTGAAAACATCTTCAACCACTCCATGGATATTTTTTCCTCAGAAATGTTTAATGAAAGCACATTCAACATGCTCATCTCTCTATTCGAATTGTACATAGCTATGAAAACGTTAAAGTCAATGGACATGCAAAGTTTTACAAAATTGTATCAACTTTATAACGAAAAATTCATACGATTTGAAAAAAGTCTTGTCTTCTACATAAATAAAATGAGGGATGAAATAAAACTAGAAACAGAAGAAATCGATAATGAAATAAAAACAGGCGATAGTGCAGAAAAAATGAGAGTGAAAAATTATTACTTCTATAAGGAAGAACTAAATAAAAGAAAAAAACTTGAACAAGAATTAATGTCCAAAATTGAATGCTTACAAGACTGTATAGACGTAAATGAAAAGTCGCAGTCGTTACGAAATTTATTGAAAAATTCTCGCAACAGCATACCATCCGATGCAAACGTGGATGAAGATATTCATTATATCTTCTCCGTTTTGCAAAATGAAGGCACTTACAAATTGGACCATTCGAAGACGAAGGAACCAAAAGATTGAATCCGTACTTTCCTACTCACAAAAAAAGCAATTGCTCTCATCAACTGGAAAAAAAAGTATTTTTTTTGTTCTTTTTTTTGTTCATTCGCAAAACATTCCCGTTGTCCACTCTATTGTACATGCTCGTACATCAGTGCTTTGCCACCCATGTGGGCTTCTCACAATTTTTCTTCATAATCTTCACTATAACAACTCCTTTTGCTAAATTCGCATATGCACATATATGTACACATGTATGAATCTTTAAAATTGCGCTAATATAAACCGCTGCGCACGCCCAACATTTAAATAAGCGTTCTACCCATTTTGGAAAAATCCGGTAACTGGAATGTGTAACGTCGAGGATAAAACACACAAAAGACATAATAACTGAACGAGGGAAAAAAGGGAACCCGTTTTTTTTTTTTTTTTTTGCTTATATATGCACCTTCACGGACGAATTATTACATCCTTTATGGTAAATAAAGGCCAATTTGATGTTCCACTTTTGGCCCGAAAATGAAGCCGCTTTTGTAAAACTGCTACACTAGTAGCACACTGCTCTACAAGTATGTTACACTTCAAATGACTTGAATTTCGGGTTTCTTCTTCGGCGCTATTGCCCTTGAAAGGTGCTGATATTCCTCGGGGATTTCCGAGTCAGACTCAAAAAAAATATAGGACAGGGTAATTTTCTCCAAATTTTTTAATCTAGAATCATTTAATATGTCTGGATCGATGAAAAATAGAACTGGCAAATCAATTTCTTCATTCGCATTTAGCATCTGCTCTTCAAAACAAAAGCACTGAATTTTATTGAAGTACAAACCTGCCTCGTCAGGAAGTACATGATAAAGAGCTACCCCTATAATTGGTTTGTCAAGCAAATTTTTGGCCTTATAAAATGCTAACACCGTTTCCCCAGGTTTTACAATTATTTTTTTCTGTTCTGGTTCGAATGCCCATGGCATATTAGACTGACTGGTAAAGTTTACTTCAATTAATCTGTTCTTATTATTTGCATTTTTTTTCTCCAACATTTTTCTCATGTCGATTTTATTTTGTATGGTTCCACCGTATCCAGTTGATTGGCAAAACAACTGGTACAGTGGGACGAAGGCAAAGGATAATCCAAGCATGCAGGCGGATAGGGACAAATATAAGTACGGGGTTTCCAATTTTGCTCTTTTTTCTAACACAAGGAAATTGTTCTTCCCCTTGTTCGTTCTGTTCATGCGCAGCCTGCTCAAGATCCTTTTTATGACGCTCATTTTGTTCTTCTTCACATTCGAGCACACCACAGGGATGGGTGATAACACCTCACACATATACGTATCTATACAATTACAAAAAGGCTACATATGTATATGTACTACATTTTACCAATTTTGTGAAATCCTTCCTCTCCCGCCTTTTCTGGATAAAAAACATGGCACTTATGTTGTTATGTGCTTCTATACAACGTGTGCTAATCAGCCCAGTCACTCATTCTCCAACGCTGATCAACGCACAAAAAAAAGAAGAAAAAAAGAAGCGCATCATTCTGTGCTTATTTTGCCTGTTTCCATCGCTATGCTACAAGAAGTGCTTCATTTTGGGGCCATTTTACTCACTCTTGCAAAAAGTACAATCACCTTGTCAAGCTGGAATTTCTAATACAGGAGTAAGAATTAAAAACGCCTTTGTATTTTTACAACCTCCAAAGGTAGGAAAAAATTTTTCTACAGCAAAGTGAGAAAAAATAATAAAATCTACACATATATTAAAAGGGTGATTGCAATTTTTTTTTTTTTTTCTGTAGGCAATTTTTTAGAACATTTTGTTTGCACCGTTTTTTTTGGCGGAAAAGTCCCTTTCGACAATACAAAGGAACCGCACATTTGAAAAATCGCCAACAGAATTGATAGCATATGTATGGATAATACCATTTTAAGTTAAAAAATTGTGGAGAAAGTGTACCACATTTTAAAAAAAAAATTGCGCACACAAAATAGGCATACCCTGAGGTGCGTATGAAAAAACGAAAAAGCTGGGTAAGCAAATGCGGGAAAATGATGCCCCTTTCAAAATTATGAACCAAAAAATATGTTCAATGTGTGGCAAGCTGCCAACTCGTAGGTAAGCACAATGAAGATGTGTTTCGGCGGAAGCTCCAAAGGAATTGCTTTTATGAAGGTTCATCGGAGTTTTTACAAATAGTAAAACAAAATTTTAATCATTTTATGCAACCTTTTTATGGTTACATACAGGTGCAAACAGGTACATAGGCCTCAGTATGCGCCACTAAAATCCCCCATGTGTACGCCGCATTGTTGAGAGCTTTACCAACGGAAAATATAATTCCCCATTTGCGTTCTGGCGGTTAGGCAAAAATGCAAATGCGCCCCCAACCTGTCAGTCTTCCATCCCCGCGAGCTTCACACAATGTCTATTGGAAAAGTAAGATGGACATTCAGTGAGCAGCCATAAGGGATCAATAACAGATGCGTGTCTCACAAAAATTCTAGATTCATTATTCGAATAAGCATCCGTGTACACGATAAACTTCCTCCTTTGTTGTTCCGATTCGTTCAAGACAGACAGCTGATCGAGGTAAAATAAATCATTGGCACCTCTCCCATTTAAGAGCTTATACGAATTACCACTTACCACTTTCGAAACGTTATAAAAAAAGGAACATATTTTTGCCTTCAGTATGTATTCCACATTATTTGACTTCCCCATCTCTATGCCGAAATTATGCAACATTCCTTTTAATCTATAAAAAAATTTCGTAGCGTTTTTAACCGATTTATAGGCTAAAAAGTTATCATAGCAAAAACTTTTTCTATCCTTTGCTTTCTCAAAATTTTGAAATATATTATAGTAACTCAAAAGGTCACTTTCTTCAGCCATGAGAGGTAATCGCATAGCTTTCACTCTATCTACATTTTTATGGTTATATAAAAAAATGGGTTCGTTAATTAGCATGCTCACTATAACTGCCACTTCGTACACACATCTGTACTTTATACTGTTCAGCACAAAAACACTATACTTAAATTTTAGCGGTAAATGACAAATTAATAGGCTTAACTTCTTATCCGTTACATTTCCATCCATGTCCATAAGTTTTAAAATATAAAGCATCTCAAAGCATCTCTTCAAAGCTATAACCATTGGAGCAGTGACAAAATCAAATGAACACACATTCTTCATTCCTAACGTTTTTAAAAAATATATGTTGTAAAAAATGTCCCCTTTTAATATTTCCGGTATGCAACTTTCGTTCAGTAGATTCATGTAATCATCCTCGGTTATCAATCTATAACAAATGGTGTCACTGCAAACGAGTCGCCGCTCTTCACATTTGCTTCTACTGCACATTATGGTGTACTTGTTCGTCACGTTCAAGTCATAATCATATATTTCATCCTTCACAAAGCATGGATCTATTACATATTTCACATTTTTCACCTTTTTATAAAAAAATTCTGCATCTTTTAGGATAATAATTTTGTCCCGTAACTCTCCCCAATCGGGGTCATCTTCAGCCAGGTCGTGCACAATTGCAATGTTACTATTTTCGATGCCTCCATTTTGCAACCCCTTCTTCACCACATCTATTTCTTGTTCGTTATTTAAAAAGAGAAGAACATTTTCTCTGCTCCTTTTTTTATTTCTAAATAGGTTACTAGCTAAAACGATACACGTGTGCAAATAATTTGAACATCTTTTTTTCAAATAATAAATATCGCCGCTCACGGGTTCATCCGTTTTGCTTCTTATCCTGTCACCAGAATTGCTCTCATTAGAAATGTGAAAAACGAACACATTAATTTCTTTGTTCACCTTTTCTATCCCTTCCGCAAACTGTTTCCATTCTTCCAACTTTTTACTAATTTGGTCTTTTCCATTATGAGGTAGATTTCTGCATGACGGGTTCATAAAATCTGCGTCCTCCTTCGGCTCATACATCAGGCAATGTTTCGCCGAATGTTCGAATAGCGAATTTCGTACATTTCTTCCTTTTTCCTCATCGGTGTGGGAAAAATCCAATTTTCCAGTATCATCTCGTGGTAGGCATTTTTCTTTATTACCTTCATCACTGGATAGCGTGTTGCTCATACTCCTCATGAAATACTGCTTCCTATTTATTAAATCCTTCATTTTTTTATTTTTTACAGAGAAATGTTTTTTCCCCCCTAAATCACCTCTTTCATAATTTCTGCGCCCGTGTCTATTCTTATAAATGTGATACTCTGGAATGACATCTTCCTTCACTTTCAAAAAATTATCCACGCTTCTTTCATTCTGCGTGAGCAAACCTGTCGACTCACTTTTATGTGTAACCCCCTTTGTAGAGACATATTCGTTCGTGTCCTTTCCATCCACTTTTATGCCTTCATTTTTGTGAATATCTGCTACGACATGCTTCTCCCTCATTGCAATGCTTATTTGTTTTCCCTTATGAGAATGACCAAACGACTTGTCACCACCCACTTCCGCTCTTTCGTCATCTTCATTTTCCTGCTCGTCCATTCTCACTTTCCATTTTTTCGAGTTGTTAACATCCTTCGTATGGCTGACTATGCCATGTTCCTCCTCTTCACCCACGGATGAGGACTCTACATGGGGGCAATTTGGTGTACCATGATAGGAACTAAAATAGCTAAGTACGTTTCCGATCAGACAGTTAGAAAATATAAAAATGACTAAATCGTTTCGCTTCAAAAGTATCTTCTTCAGTAATGACAGTATCAAGTCGGTCTGTACTAGCCTCTTATGAACATTTGTTAAAATTATAACATTAAATTCAATTAAAAGTGGATCGAATAATATTTTCTGAAGCAGTGTTGCTTCGTCCAGGAGTCCAATTTTGTCATTTTGGTGAGCACTTTCCTCTTTCTTATCATGATCACTTAACAGTGGAGTGAAAAAATCCTTCAAATCGTAATCAATTAAGTCATAGCAGTGCCCCAAAATCTTGTCCGAAAATGAAATGCACAATCTGCTATTCTCATTTAAGGTGTGAAATTTCT